GGATGTTTCTCCCACATTGAGGGCAGACGGCAGTTACCTCCTGGTGCTGTGATTCCAAACACCACCTGTAGGTGAGATCTCCATGAGTTTTGTGGCGTGTGGTCTGCCTCATTGTGATTTCTTCTCATTCCTAAAGGAGATGGGCACAAAGGCAAGAATTTCAGGAGGCACATTTTCTCAGGCAAGCCTGCAGATGAGTTAAAATACTTCCTTACCAGCCTTGCAGGGTTTCTAAGAATAGCTGTATTTTGCTTAAATTAAGCAGGCCACAGTGTTCTGAAGGTATTGGGCTAGGATCTGTGCCTCCTGCCCCAGAGTCCAGCTGGTGCTGCCCAGAGGAGGGGCTGAACTGCTCACAGCTTCCACCTTTGCTCTCCTTGCAAGAGCTGCCTGGCAGGTCTCCGCCTATCAAGTGTGCAAATGTTGGCCAGCCTGCTGGGCAGCTCAGAAGCATAGCTGTCACCCCTCTTCTGCTTGATGGCCCTGGGAAGCTGACAGGGAATGAGGACGGTGAGTCTTTGTCCAGCCCTCTGGTCTTCCCAGACTTGCTTTTGTCGCTTCATTTGTTGCTATGTCTTCAGCAGTTTCACATTCTGTCCTGACTCGTTTTTAATCTCTTAAAACTTAGCTGTCACAGAGGGCGTAATAATTTTGCCCGCACTCACTACACTTGCTGGTTTCCTTGCTCCCTTTGCTTGCTTTTTCATTGCCCATCCCACCCAGTCTCCACCACAATCTATATTGGTGTCTATTTATTATTGTAAGGTAGATTTACAAAGAGAAGGAGAAAGAAGAATCTTGCCTCTTGCTAGTTCACTCCCTAAATAGTCACAACAGCCAGAGCTGAGCTGATCTGAAGCCAGGAGCCAGAGCTGCTTCTGAGTCTGCAACATTGGTATAAGGTCTGAAGGCTTTGAGCCATCCTCCACTGCTTTCCCAGGCAATTAGCAGAGAGCTGGATGGAAAGTGGAGCAGCAGGGACATGAACCAGCACCCATATGGAATGCTGGCACTACACGGTGGAGGATTAGCCAGTCGAGTCATTGCACTACCTCTCTACTTGTCTTTAACTACTTCTGCTTGTGTGTGTGTGCACCTATTGCTGCCTTTAAATTCTTCTTCCTCTTAAGTGTATTTTGGGTAAAATCCAAGAAGGAATTATGTTGAGCTGTGGGGAAAGTATGTTTAAAATGAGCCATTAATGTTGGAAAGATTCAGTATCAAAGTCAAAGAAATGCTTAGCATTGATATGCAGTAGATAGTGAGAGGTGGTTATGAAAACGCTGCTTTCTGCCCCTCATCCCATTTTGATTTGTTACCTGATATTATAAAGCAACAGTTTCTAACCAATACTTCTGGTTAGTTTTAAGATTTTTTAAAATTCTTTTTTTTTTTGAGATTTATATTCATTTTTATTGGAATATACAGAGAGGAGGAGAAACAGAGAGGAAATCTTCGTCCGATGCTTCACTCCCCAAGTGGCCGCAATGGCTGGAGCCAAGTCAATCTGAAGCCAGGAGCCTGGAGCTTTCTCCAGGGCTCCCACATTGGAGCAGGTCTCAAAGCTTTGGGCCGTCCTCGACTGCATTCCCAGGCCACAGGCAGGGAGCTGGATGGGAAGCAGGGCCGCCTGGATTAGAACTGGTGCCCATATGGGATCCTGGTGCACTCAAGGTGAGGACTTTAACTACTATGCTATCGTACCAGGCCCAAGATTTTAAAAAATTCTTTAAAAATCCTTAAAGAAAAAGTCATTTAGGCACGCATTGGAAGTCCCTGTGGCTCCTGGCAGTTGTAGGAAGGTGGCTGTCTCCCCAAGGTCCCAGGGGAGTTGCTGGTGTAAACAACAGTGGCCAGCAGGGTCCTCTGGGTCCCTAAAGTAAGTTCAGTTCATCCCGGGTGAATTCTGCTTAGTATCAGAGCTTCCCAGAATCACCAGTCCAAGATATGCTGAGAGTGCTGCCAAGCTTCCATGTCTGCTGCTTGGTACACCAAGGGCCACGGTCATGAGCAGCGATCACAAGATCCCAGCTCAGCAGACTCCACTGTGGCATTGTTGTCAAGAGCCCTTGGCGTGATAGGGAAAGCAGGGGTCAGGTGCTAGTTCACGGACAGCCTGAGAAACACTGCATTTAGTGTGCCTTTCCTGTGGTTACACAGACCCACTCTCATTGCATTTGATCCGTCTGTGCCTCCCACCCAGTTTTCCCATTCCAGGCATTTCTGCTGCCTGCCTCTCTTTCTCAGTATGGTTTTGACTTTGCTGGGAGAACATTGTGAAAAGCAGGTGGAGGATGGAGCAAGTTAACTCAGCCTTGTGCATTGTCCCTAGAGACCAGAAGGAGACAGAAAAGCTACGAGCAGTGGGGTAATTTGAACAACTTTCCTAAGCATCCCCCAGGGCAGGGAGATGGGGAAAATTAGAGCAGAAGCTATGTATGAGTTGGCCTGGCCAGCAGTTCAATTCAGGACTTGAGTTTCAGAACAACGCCTCTTGCTGCCTTTTCTGTAATAAAAACGGGAACTGAATAGCCAAATCTTTCACCTTTCCCAGCACTGGGCACAGCAGACTGGGTGAAAGAACCAAACAGCCATTCCCTTTCTAGTCTAGGATCTAGGAGGTGCCTTAGGAAGCTGGAAGGACTCGAAATCTATTCCCAGTGTCTCGCTCGCTGTGCCTCAGTTCTCTTTTCTGTAAAATGTTCACTTCTTCCTGGGATTCTTGCAAGGTGTGGGTGGGATATTAGTAAATCACCAACTATCACTAGGTCCTTAATAATGGAAATTAGAGTTACTTTTCATATTCTATGTGGAAGAAAAATTTCCCTAACCTTGCATTTCCAAGGCAAGCATCTAACAAGGAAAAGGACAGATGATCCATCCCCTGGAAGTTGCAGATGTGGTTTGCTCTCTGCAGCAGGCAGCAGGGAATGCACACATCAGCCCCCTAGAATACAGGGGGAGAAGTGGGATGCCCATCCCTGTGTCCCTGGGGGTAACCTTTTTCACCTGCTCCAGGGCTGAAGGGAGCCTGTTGAAGCATCCAACCACTCAGCCTGCCCTGTGGCCTCCTTCACACAGCTGTCCTCTTGCTTTTTCTGCTCTTCCAAGTAAAGCCATTGATCAATTCCCCATGCACAGCTATTTATTTCCCCATCTTGTGAGAACTCTTTATTATTTTATTCCACGGAATCTTCTAGAATTCCATATCAGAAAGCCCTAGGGAGAAACATTTCTTAAACAGCTGAGGCTTAAAAAAAAACGTACTCATTCTGTACACTCTGCTTCTCCCTATGGCCTTATTCTCACTGCATGAATCTTTAGTAATAATTCTAAATTAACCTTCACCTCCTCATCTGCTCAAGGACTGCCACCTTCCATGACTCAGAGAAGCACAGGATTTTAAGCTAAAACACCAGAATGAATTCTAAGCTATACATATATTGAGTTCTGGATAAGCTAACTTTTCATTTGAAACAGGCAGCAGTTTTTGTTTTCCTAATCAGTTTTAGTTCTTTATGACATTTCTTAGTATAATTATTACATGTTATTTTTTTAATTAAATCAGTGACACAGAATTCTAAGACAATATATTTCTGGATTCAATTTTATCTCCTTTCTCCTACTCTGTTTTTGGAAGTCAGCAACAGTCTCTTACACATTCAGTTTACAATAGTGGACGTTTTCACTGTCTTAGTAGGAAGAACCTTAGGCTTTGTTCAACCTTTGATGTTGGTTAATTTTTGTCCTGAAGGAGGAAGGAGGGAGAGGTGGGAGGAGGAAAGGTAATTTGGTACCTGATGCCTCTACTTTATTTGGACCTTGGGAATATGTAGAATGGGACATGCAGAAGGGTCAAGCAGGGATGACAAATAAGTTATCTTTAAGTAGGACTTTGAGTAACAACCATACTAATTTTCTTTATAGTTCATGAACTAAGCTGGCCTTTTTTACTCTGAAACTTGATTTGCCCAGAAACAAGGATTTGATTAGCATGTAGTGATTAACAGAGCACATTTGGGTTCTCTAAGTTGTCTTTGTGGATTAGCTTATGGATCTGGCTCATGGTAGGATTTTAAGGGAAGGAATTGTGTCCTCCTTCTGTAAATGTGGATCTGAATCTGGATCAGCAAGATACAGAAAGCAAGAACTCTCAGGCTTTTTGGACTAATGCTTTGGAAGGACCATCACTGATGTAGCAGGGGACAATCCTTGTTTAAAAAGCTGTTCCCCGAAGTGTGCCTGGACTCTAAACTGTAGTTGGAAGAACAGAGCCACCTTCACGAGGGGCTTGGTTCTTGGTCTCGGTTCTGCAAGTTTTGGAGTCCACAATGTTCTCCTGACCCAGGGGCCCCTGGGAGTGCCCCTGCATGGCACACACACTTGTTGTGAGTCTGCTCTGTTCCTGAGTTACACAGCTAAGACAGTTAGTGGCTCTGCAGGGTCTTCCACAGAGCCACGGCTGCCATGGCTGTGCCATGTCCAAGAGGAAACTGCAGGGTTAGCCCTCCTCTTGTTTATCAGCTGCAGGCCCTGTGTTAATGATGGTGTGTGGAGAGGTGGCAGAGGTGGGGAGCTGGGAACCTCACCCCCCCCCATGCCTGGAGAGCCCCTCCCCAGGGCTGGACAAGAGACCCTGAGCAGGGCAGCAGCAGGGGGCAGTGGCCTCAGCGCCCTGCCCATGTGACAGTTTTGGCTATGGGGATTCCTGTGGCCAGGGGAGAACCTTTGGCTCTTGTTCCCTGTGCCTGTCTTGGTATTAGGGAACAGTCAGGAAGGTCCTTGTCTGGACCACAGGTCTTATGGGGTTGATGTACTCTGTGAAGCTCACTGCTCTCAGCTGTGGTCTGGCGTGGTGTAGCTTCCTGCGCTTGATTCTTCTCCTGCACTGGGCTCCTGGGTGTGGCTGGACATGGTGTGGAAAGGGCAAGCGGGGATACCCCGCCCAGCTCGCTGCTCTTGGTCAGCTGTCCCTGACGTCGTCTTGTTTTGTCCACCAGATGATGATTCAGATCTGTACTCTCCCCGGTACTCCTTTTCTGAAGATAGTAAGTACCATTGCATTCCCTGGGTGCAGGGGAGGAAGGAGGGTGATGGGTGAGGGAAGACGCCTTCCTGCTGTTGGGTTTCATGGATTTTAAAAGTCTGCGGTACACACTATCTCTCTCCAGCAAAGTCTTCCCTTTCTGTGCCTCGCTCAAAAAGCGAGATGAGCTACATTGACAGTGAGAAGGTAGTTAAGAGGTCGGCCACACTGCCCCTCCCAGCCCGTTCTTCCTCGCTGAAGTCAAGCCCAGAAAGGTAAGTGCTCCCTTGTCCTTGGACCAAGGCCTGCCAGCCTCCTGTCCTAAAAACGTGCAGCTTGAATCCCACCAGCGGTGATTTATCCCTTCTGAGTTTCAATGATGCTCGTCTATGAAATGGAGAGAGAGATGGCATAACTCCTTAATAGCATGTCAGGGATGGATGAGTTAATACACATAGCATTCATGGTATATAGTTGGTTTAATTAGTGCTGCTGATGAGTAGAAACGCTATTTGCATTGTCATTAGAGAAATGTTTTCAAGTTCTTTGCTTACACTAACTCTGTGTTCACAGTGATAGATACTGTAAGCTGTGGGCTTGTTCTATTGATGACATTGGTCATCTTTTCATGCCTGCCTGGAGCAACGTGATTTTCTTTTATTGTGTTCTTGACTCTCAAAATGCCCTGTGGCACAACTTTCTCATGTCATTCGAATAAGTGTCCATGCCCCTTCAGCCCCCAGTTTCTGCCACATCTCAAATTGCCTAGGGCTCTGAGCCCAATGATATCATTATGTTTCCTTTAAATACACTCCTGGTTTCACACTTCCACAATTTCCTTCTTTATAGAGAAGTAACTGGCTATTTTAAAAAGACCAAGGAAATGCATTCATCGAACACCTACAATGTACATTCTCTGCACATTGAACCAGATATAAGCATATAAATATAAATCATTGTCCCTGACTTCAAGAAGTTTTCAGGTTTGCATAAAAAAGTAAATACAGTCACGTTGCAGAGTGCCGGGATGCACATGCCTGAAAATTTGCAAACACTTTACAAGGGTTCACGTATCCTGGGAAATACCACTGCAAGCCAGAAGTGCCCGGGCCGTGCAGGCCGAGGTGGGTGGCTCATGGATGGGGTGGCTCTAACGGCCATCACAGAGAACCCAGGCGTGCTAGTTGCTGATCTTTCCTGAGTGACAGAAGGGCCTGCAGCCCTGCTCAGTGACTTACTTGCACTGTCTCATTTGGTCCTCGCAACAACTCTCATTTTTCACCTGGAGAAACTGAGGAGCCCAGAGGTCACGTGTCTAGCTAAGAGTACATGGTGAGTGGCAGGTAACATGGCAGAGACTGAACCGGGACCTCCAGGTATCCTCTCGCCATGTGAGTGGGAAGCGCAGGCATGTTGAGGGAGTGACAAATTCATGACAGCAGAACAAGGTGAAAGATTTTTCCGGAGCGAGCTTGCTGCTGCTTGCTCCCTCCCTGTTTCTCTTTCTGCTCCCTGGATTTGGTTTTTGAACAGAGGATTCCTCAGCCCCCTCATGAGGCAAGCACAGACATTTAACTGGTTGTTTTGCAGAGGCAAAACTTGTGCAGTTATGTTGCTCACCCTGATTGATTTTATGCTTTGGATATAAAAATTGCTTGATTAGACTACAGCCAACCCAAGTCAGACCGTGTCAGCAGCTGATGCCAATTCTCATGAAAACTGCTCTAATAGGATTTTCTTGCTACAGAAACGACTGGGAGCCTCCAGATAAGAAAGTGGATACGAGAAAATACCGTGCAGAGCCCAAAAGCATTTATGAGTATCAGCCGGGCCGGTCTTCCGTTCTGAGCAACGAAAAGATGGTAATGTGCATACTGAAGTTCTTTTGTCTCATTCTGCCCATGTTCTGAAATCTCGGTGCATTGTACCATAGGAGTATGTGCTTTGCCTGCTGGGATAGGCTTGCTTTGTTTAGAAGACAATGAGGAAAAAATGATATGTATTTACTTCTGTTTCATTTTTGCAGGTATTCATACAATAAGTCCTTGAGAGTTTGCTTGTTAAAAATCCTCTAATTGTGGCTTTGTTGCTCCTTTGTGCATGATTTGACTAATTTTAATCTTTTTGCTAAAAAAGGTTGATTTTCTGCTGGTTTCCTTTGGGTGTCTAACCATTAATTTATCAGGCTTATCCCTAATTAAACTAACGTCAGTTTTTTTAGTGACTCTTGTTTGAATGAGCATATATTTTTTAGAAGTTGCTAGTACATCATGAAAAACAAAATAATGAATAGGATGTCAGGACTCGGGGGAAGAAAGCCCCAGGCTAGTAGCATATGTCTTTTTGATCTTCCATTTTTGACAAATGCTGTGTTGAGGACTCATTTGCTATTCAGTCTGGTCTATGGCTCTCTGTGCAAGTTCCCATCTCCAAACGATTGTGAGTGGGGAAAGCAGCTTGTGTGAGCACAGCAGAGCTTCCTGGAAAAGCAACCCTCTGCTGTGACACGGGAAGAAGCCTTGCAAACCGGCTAGTCTCCTATCTGCCCATCACCCTTCCCATTGTTTACCCTTCCTTAGAAAGAGCTGGTTCACAATTCAGGTGGTGATGACGCCAAGCTCTGTGAATGCCACAGGCCTCCAGCCGTGATGGGGCAAGATGAGGTTATTGTGTGGGGGACTGGCTTTTATCAGAACATTGTTAGCACACACACCGCCCCCCACCCCAAGGTGCAGGTGCAAATCCCCCCCACCCCTCCCCCCACCCCCGCGCCTCTTCTGTGCTGCCTGGTTTCCAGGAATAATCGATTTGACTTTTACTAAAATAAAAATGGGACATCATTAAAAGCACCGAGCAAATAGTGAGTTTAATTGGGAAAGAAGGTCAGCGGCTTGCAGAACTGCTTTCAGCTCTGCCATTCTTCCGTATTCACTTTGCACAGCAGTTATTTTAAGCCGAGGCAGCAGCGGGGAGGAGCAGAGGGTTTTGTCTCTGCCCTCTTCCTTCACAGGAGGTTCTCTGCCTGGGAGAAGGTGCCAGGCAGCCCGCCCCCAGGAGTTCCTGGAAAGTGCTGCTGCTGTCCAGGTGTTTCCTAATCCTTCAGTAGTGGCCTAGGACCCACTGTCACTGTCCTGTAGGAACGTGTGGAGGCGATTTGAGGGACTCGTGGGTCCTTAAGGTTTTGTTTTGTTTGACAATGTCACCATTCCTATGCACCTCTGGATTTTGAGTTCTTTGTGTCTAGTCCCTTCCTTGGGTTCCTGGTAGTTGAAGCAGCAGTATCCAGAGCTTGGAATCATAGCCATGGATACAAGGACTTCCTGTATCATAGTTTTTGGGGTTGTTTATGTCATTTTTACAACCCTGGAAAGGAACACAACTTGCCTGCAAAGGCTCTCCTGGGATGGCCGAGGGGTGACTGCACACTCTGGGTGCACACAGTGCTCTTCCATGCTGTCCCAAGCTGCATCCTCGCCGCTGTGGGACGGGAGCACCAAAGGTGGGCGGGCAGTGGCTCAGCAGGACCGCCCAGTAGTTGGATTTAGTGCCAGTAACCCAGCTGAGCCCTAATTTTCCAAAGAAACTTTCTAATTTTACAGAGAAATTTCAACTGAATCTTAATCTTTTGGCACTGTACCCCTTTGTAGTAGTTGAATTAGCCCTGTATATGAGTGAGTGTTTATTCCTGTTTTGACCACATGAACATAAAAGTTGGAATATGAAGTTTCAGTATGTGAATCTTGCCTTTTGGTAACTAGTATTCAATTTGCTAGAATCTGAGCAACACCCTCCAACTATGTCATCAACACTACACATACATACGTACACCCATGCACATGCACACACTTTGTTTTTGGTTGACTGTGGGTGAGCATACCCATAATGACAGATGTTGATCTTGGTTTGGAGGTAAGATTTTCTTGTCCACTTGAGGCACTCATATTTGCTTCTGTCTGCAGCTAAATCATGACCTCCTGTGCATATCCATATGTTGCCAATGGAGGTGTGGACTGGTGGACCAGAAAGGCTGCCCAGCCCAGTGGAGCACTGCCCTCCTCTCGCATGTGCCACAGGACACGTCCTTGCTTGATGAGTTAGTCACTGGTGGACAGACTCGTGCAGGCATCCTCTTGCCTACTGGGCCCTCCTCTTGTTGGAGCAGGAGTCCATTTGCCATCTGGCTTAGAAGTCAGAGCACTGTTGGTCAGAAATGGTCTTTTCCAGACTCCATGCCTTCGTACTTTCCCTTAAAGTCCTTTTAGAACCTCAGCTCATTGCACCAAATGTGTCTGCAGAATAACTTTGACGTGGCCAATCCTGAGTTGGACTGTGGAGTCCCGTCCCCAGAGCTCTATGATGAGGACACTCATTGCAATGCTAATGACAGACTCAGGGTGATCTTCCAGGTCAGAGATGAGAGGATTTTTCCCCCAGTGCCTTGTCACCCCAGGTTTCTTCCTTTGCTTTGCAGCTGGGTCACTGGACCCTAGTTGACTTGGCATCCTTGACAAGGATGTAGTGGTGGTCCTGTCCCGCCCCTCCTATGTGGAGCAGGACAATGAACCACAGACAGCGTGGTGTAGAGAGGGCTGGATCTCAGTTCTGATTCTTATGTCCTGGGGCAAACCATGTGACTTTTCTAAACCTCACTGCTGCTAACTGTAAGCAGAAGCACCACCCTGCCCATTGTCCTGGAGTGTCAAGTAGGAGGTGAGACAGCACGGCACGGCCCAAGGCCTCAGGACAGGATCATGTGCTGTGTGAATGAGCTTGACATGTTCAGATGGTTTATGTCATTGCAACTGAAAGCTATCCTGGAGCTCCCATTCAAGCAGCAAAACTCTCCTTGAAAAACTCTCCTGGCACTCTTCTGGCTGGCCACTGCCCTCACCTGGGTCTGGCCAGATGAAGTTGGCCCTGGCTGCTAGTGCAGGCTTCCTGTTCTGTTCCACATTCAGATCTGCTGCAAGTGGCAAAATCAAACGCACGAGGCGGTCCCACGTGGCATCACCTGTGTGCTTCAGGCTTGATCTAGGCAGCTCATGCGTCGGAGGCTGGCCACCCTGATCCAGGACTCGCCCTGCTGGACCCTGCCTCCTGCACTGAAACAGTAGACAGGCTACTTCTAGGAATTAACTAGGTTGATTCAGGACCATGAATACCAAAACTTATGGAGTTTCCCTAAAGAGTTAGTATGTTTCATTACACACACCCTACTCAGTTCCCAAACAGCAGCTTATAAACCTTATCTTTGTGACAGTAATGACCCTGGCTCCCATCTGAACAGCCATTCCAGAGCTGTTGTGTCCTCGTGGGCCTTGTGCCTCCTCCTCCCACTGTCTTGTACAGAACTCACTTCCTGCTGTGAGGACAAGCCTTACCCTAGAGCCCCTAGAGACAAAAGGAGGAGGTGTCTGTCATCTGGGTTTAAGGGGACAGGCTGTATGCGTCAGTGCCTGCTTCTTTCCACTTTTCGCTTAGCCTAGTCCACAGAGAATTCCAATGCCTCTGGCAAAGTTAAGATCCTCTGGCCAGGTCCACTGGGAAGCCCTGCACCGAGTTTACAAGCTGCACTGATCGGTTAGGAAAAATGCTTCTGGGCAGCTCTGCTGACTGCAGTACCAAGACCTGCACGTGGGCTTGGCCACCCCCTTCTTCATGTGTTGCTGCTCCAGAAGGGAGCAAAGTGTTTTGAGTAACATGTTTATTTTGTGTTTTAGATGATCCTAGAGTCACTGCATCTCTGGGTTTTTGCGTGTGATTCTCAAAGGGTTTTTTAAGGCATTTATGCATAGATGAATTTAATTAAGCCACAAATCTGGTCTGATATGACAGTATCTTCCAGTTATTAAAGGGAAGTCCTGATTTGCTTTCCAGGCATATATTTCTCAACCATCTCTTTTCAGAAACATATGTTAAACCCACAGAGAACTTTATACATATTTGATAGAATATTAAAAATCCTGTGGAATCAAGTTATTAGTCTGATACCTCTTCAAGTAAGAAATCTGACTTATTGTGTCTTATAACCCAGAGGTTTTCTTCCCCTGTTATCTGTCTTGTCCAGTTTCCCGCTCACTTCATTTTATCCCCCTTAACTTTGTAGATCTCGAAGTATATTCTGTTTGTATTCATCCCCATGGATGCCTGTCGAAGATGTTCTTTTCGCTTGTGTCGTCTGTTTTTACTTATCTCATCTCCCACTGTCCTGTGTGGATGGGACGTGGTTTCTCACCTATCCATTTGCCATTAAAGATGCAGTATTAACCGATTGGCTTTTCCAAAGGGTCAGCATTGCAAAAACCTCAAGGCAGCCTCGCAAAGAAGCACTAAAACCGTACTAGCCTATAGAAGTCGTTTGCTCTGCTCAGCTGGCATAGATGCTCCCCAGTTGATTCACTTGCAGCTAATAGTTGTTTGTGCAGAGGGATCAAGACCTGCGAAGTGGGGAATGCCTGTGTCCAGATTTGCTGGCAAGGGCTGCAGCATGCTGCAGAGTCCCTCCTCTCTGGTCCCTCTGGCTTCGGCCTTTGGCCTGCCAGTGATCCACTACGCCTCCCATCCCAGTTTCCTCGATTGCATAAGCTCATCTTCATTCTCCTGTTTTTGCTGATGTCAGAAAACAAAGCAAGGTGGTTGCTGCTGTTGAACGCAGTTGCTGGATGTACCTGGAACCCACTGCATCTCTACTGGCCTGTTCCTATGTAATCTTTGCATAATGTTATCCTTCTCTTTCTTCCATCTCCCTATCACCAACCCCTATAGAGTCGGGATATAAGCCCTGAAGAGATAGATTTAAAGAATGAACCTTGGTATAAATTCTTTTCGGAATTGGAGTTTGGGAAACCGGTAAGTTCAATAGCTTCGGTGGTTCTACACCTTGTAAAATAGTGCTGTTGACACATTGTTGCTGCTACAGAATCAGGCCAACCTGTAAGGAATTCGGAAAGTGGGGAGCAGTCCTGTTGGCTGTCAGTAGTGGGGTTGTTCCTGCACACTGCAGCCAGTGAGCTTTGCTTTCTTCACCAAGAAAGCTCTGGATGTCCCTCTTGCCAGAGTCTCCCAGACGTTGCCCTAAGTCAGTGCTTGTCCTAGGACTTCACCCTGCTGGCAGCATACCTGTGGTTAGCCCTGTCTCAGCCATTGACTGGCTTCGTGCTGGCATACTGAATACCAGGAGGATCCACATGGTCACAGCTCCAATCAGTGTTTTTTAAAAAGCATGTGTGTGAGAGAAGTGCCAGAGCAAGGCAAAGAGGGGCTTTCCATGCCAGTGTGACCCGCAGGTACAACCCCTTGCAGATGGCTGCTTGAAAATGGTTGCACGGTTAGGATCGTCGGTCCCGAGTTGTGAAATGAGAGTAAGGAATTCTAACAGACTCAGTGCTGTGCAGCCTCCCAGCAATGACTCTGACTTTGACACACACTGAATTTTGGCACTCATAGGAGCATCTTCTTAACCTGTACCCCAAACAGCATTAGAAGAGAGAACTGAGTTCATCCTTTCCTTGGAGGTGATTGTTGACTGACTTTAGAACTCTTAGTTACTTTCAAGTCTTAGGTATTATTGCTGCAAATAAAATTTACAACTGGGAGAGTTAGGCAAATAAGAAGAAAACTTTTTTGTTATTGTTAGATTTGCCATGATAACCTATGCACAGAATCCAGCTTTTGAGCTGCTGTGGTCTGGGCAAGGAGGAATTAACTTTATAGTGAAATTCCATGGTGTATAGTTTTCATTAAGACGAAAAGGTAAATCAAGCTGGTGCTCCGAATTGCTAATTTGACATGATGATGCTAATCTTACATCTTCCGAATTAGGAGCACCTAATTTGGAAACAACCAGCTTGTAGGAACACCTGATTCTTCTCTTGCTGTCCTCTGGGCTATCGTGGAAGTACAGTGCCGCCTACTGTCCAATGGAGAAGAGTGCATGCATTAAACTGGGCGGCACCTTCTCCATGCCCTCTCCTTCCTCCATATTTTCGTGCTATTCACCATGGAAACATCAATTAAGTCTGCTTGTGGGAAACATTTTTTACATGCAAATATTTTACAGTATCTTAACCCTTTCCTTTTTTTCATAAAACTTGCTCAATTATCAACCTTCTTTTGGTTGGACACCCCCAAATCCTGATATACCCAAAAAAGACAGTGGCTGGATACTAATATATCCATATAACAATTTCATACTTTCATCAAAGAAAACAAAAACTGTTTTTAATAATTATGTTTATTGAAAGATCTATGCTATTGATTTTTTTGAAGTCCCTTTTAGAATTCATTCACTTTTGGGTCCGGCACAATAGCCACTAAATTCTCTCTTATAGGCACTGGGATCCCATATGGGTACAAATTCGTGTCTCAACTGCTCCAATTCCCATCTAGCTCCCTACTTGGGGCCTGGGAAAATAGTGGGGATGCACAAAGCCTTAGAACCTGCTCCTTTGTGGGAGACCTGGAGGAAGCTCCTGGCTTCGGATTGGCCCAGCTCTGGTCATTGTGGCCACTTGGGGAGCGAACCAACAGATGGAAGATCTTTCTGTATCTCCTCTCTGTGAATCTGACTTTCCCATAAAAATTTTAAAATAAATCTTTAAGAAAAAAAACTTCACAGATTTCTAACTACCACCTCATCTGCCAAAAAGCAACTTGAGTATTAGATTTTGGGAAAAACTAGGAAAGTTTTTTCTAAGTGTATGATTAGTAGTCCTTTTTAAAAATTATTCAGTTTTATCTGAAAGGCAGATTTACAGGGAGATTGAGAGAGAGAGATCTTCTATCTGCTGGTTCACTCTCCAAATGGCCACAATGGCTGAAGCTGAGCCAATCTGAAGTTAGGAGCTCAGAGCTTCTTCTGGGTCCCATCATGTTGGTACAGGTGCCCAAGGACTGTAACCATCCTCCACTGCTTTCCCAGGGTTAGGGAGCTGGATCAGAAGTGAAGTAGTTGGGAATAGAACTGGTACCCGTATGGGAGGCTGGTACTGCAGGTAAAGCATTAGCCTGTTGAGCTTGTGTCAACCCCAATTAGTCAGTCTTACTAAAAGAACTGTTGAAAAATTTTGTTGAGAGCAGACAGCTTTTCAGTCCTAGCACATGTGAACTAGGTCCTCTGAGTAGCGTGGTAAGCAAGCTTTTTTTTCTACAGGAGCCTGGTCTGTGTGCTACACAGCCACGGCACACGAAGGCACAGCTTTCCCGGGATTTGCGTCCCTACCCCAGGACTCTCACTGCTCTGAATTACTTAAACCCTTGGAGGCACTTTTCCAAAGTGATCCATGTGTGCCTTGCACAGACCTGAGTCCTCCTTATGGGACTGCAACCCTTGCTGTAGGTCCCACTCTAAAAGCTAACAGTTTTGGAAAACCTGCCCAAATGCGGTAATCCATGCCCCTGTCATGGGGCACAGCACTGACATCAATAGCTCCTATGATCTGAGGCATCTTAAGTGTGGGCTTGAGAGGAGGTGTGGCAAGGAGAACTTTTTCCTCCTCTTCATCTCTCCCTGACACTCTAGACCTCAGAACAGTAGGATACATACGCAGAAGTGTTGTGAACCATGAGGGTTGGTTTGTGCAGTTGTTGCCATCTGTTCAGAAGCAGAAAGGCTTGTGCCAAATCACGTGGCCTGGTATTGCTGCTTCCCCCTCCCCACACACACACCAACTTGGGACTGCATCCCCTGAGTCCAGTCTTCCTGAACTTTGGCCCAGGTGTGACCATAAACTCTTCTCTGCCTCACATAAAGCCACTCAGAATGAGCTGGAATTCCAGCAGGATCCTGAATGTCACTCTTTCTAGCTCGTACAAGCTGTTGCACAACAGCAAATACTTCAGGAGTCCCGGGACCCTTTGGAGAAGGATGCTTAAAGCCAGTTTCATTTGTAAACTCTGAGTTGTATTTGGCAGTGGAAAAAGGGACGCATAGTGGTACTGTAAGAAGTCTCCTTTCCCAGAGGGACAGTGCAAGTGTGTTAACAGCACAAGGTGAGCAGTAGGTGCTGGCATCAGTCTACAAAATGCAGGACACGTGGGAGACTGGCATAGTGTGAGCTTAGCTGCCTTCCACGACGCAGGACATCCACAGGTGATGTCAGAGGTCACCTCACCTTAGGATCTGATCATGTTTCACTCAGCCTGGGGTCAGCTTTCTGCTTGCTTCCCCCTCAGGTTCTGTAGAAATTGGCCTCATTGTATGGAGGTAGAAGCTCACAGCATGAAGGAATTTGAATGTTTCTGAGGAGCAGGTTGTAGAGGAGTTTGCACAGTATTCAGGAGCTAGTAATGCCCGCTGTTTCACACCCCCCAGAGGTTATTGGATAAGGGCGTTCTCCTCTTAACAGCAGAACAAGGAGAGGGAGTTAGCAGTGCCTACCACTCCTGACAGCAGATGTCCACCTGAGGGATGCAGCTGCAACTTCAAACAGGAAATGAGAAGACACCTTCAGCCCCTGTTAAGGCTCAGTCTAAACTCCTGTCTCCAAGAGGTGGGAAGGGATGTCTCGACTGCTAGTGGCAGTAGAGTCTAGGTAAACTGGAAAAGAAAGTGAAATTGATCAGGAACGTGTTTCACACCCATCGAACCCAGTGGATTTTGAAAGCTCATGGGGTGCAGCCCACCCGCCTTTGAGCAGAGTCAGGACTGCCCCACCTGTTCCATCAGGGAAGGTGGCTTCGGATTCGGAGGTTCTATGGTACCAACCTGAGTCAGACAACATCAGGAGGAGTTTGAAAGTTTCTATTTATGTTCCAATGTGTGTGAATTTTTTATTCCCCCCACCTTCTAAGTTTTCAATTATTTGTAATGCAATGGGGAGTTGCTCTTGGAACAGTCCCAGACAGACATCCTAGTGAGTGGCCCCAGTGCCCCAGTATCTTCAGCTCAGTGCTCCCCAACTTTTGGTTCCCTTTTCTGTGTTGATGCAATCCCCCAGTGTGCCCCCTCCTTGTTTGAGCCAGCCTCCGTGTTTGTCTTTACGTCTTTACGCTCATTTCTTCATTTCCTCCTCTGCTTCCCGTCAGCCTCCCAAAAAGATATGGGATTATACTCCTGGAGACTGCTCTATCCTTCCTAGAGAGGATAGAAAGGTAATTCCACCGTGCCTCCTCTGTTGGACTGTGTGTGTGCTCTCTAGCCTCGGTTAGTGTGAGTGTGGTGTGGGTTTGTTTTCTTAAATCACTCAAAAATTAAGTTGATAATCTTTTTTTTTTTTTTTTTTGGTTTGGTAGTATTTAACAAAGTCTTTAAAACATATGCTAATGTTTAGAGGGTTCTAAACCAATGTATACTATGTGTCGCAGTCACCAGACTCTGAAAGGAGAAATAGGCATTTCCTTGAAGGTAGGTCGTTGTGACGGTAGTAGCTTCCCTTAGCAAGTAGAGTAGATCTCTGTGGTTCCCACTGCTTCAGGATTTCTGTTTGACCGGCCTGATGCTGCCGTCTCGGTTTTCATGTCTGTAACTAATTTCTAGTGAGCTCTTGTGTTGTGACCATGCCATCTTGGCCTTATTAAAGTTCACTGCTAAAACACAAATAAAAAACCCGAAATTCATTTTTCAAACTTAACTTTCTGTTCTTTCTCCCTTTCCTCTAAACTAAAGCATTCTTTCTCATCTTTTCTTTCTCAAACCAGACTAACCTAGACAGAGATCTCAACCTCTGCCAAACAGAGTTAGAGGCAGATGTAGAGAAAACGGAGACGCTTAACAATGCTCCCGGCGCAGCCCGGCCGCAGGTACTGCCCGGTTTTCCTCACGCCCGCAGCTCCCCTCCCTCCTCTGGGTCATTGTTGTTTGGTTTGGGTGGCGGTTGAGCAGATAGTGGCGATGCTGGTGGCTCCAGGGTATCTGGCTTCTGGAGTCATGTGTTAGGTCCTGCCCTCCCCAGGTCATGTCTTTGGATTGCTTTGAGCAGGGCACTGCTGAACTGTGTGCACAGTAGCTGGAGGGGTACACGTCCTCTTCACCGCCTCCTCATTTTCATTGTGCTTTCATGATGCCATCGTTTTCAAGACCCCTTCTGTCACCTCTGTGTACCTTCCCCAAGTTCTCCAGGAACTATTTTTTTGGCCAATTCTCTTGGTCTTGGTGCAGCCTTGGGAGGTACTAACAGCACAAATCATTTTCCAAAACCCAGCAGCAGTGTTGTGTGTATGGCACTGCCAGAGTCGTGTGGCTTGCTGCTTCAGAAACCACAAATGGTCAGTGAAGTCAGTGAAGCTCCTGAGGCTGGGCAGCCTGGTGCAAAGGAGAGTTGGCAAGTGCACATTGTCAGTGCAGACCGATAGGTGTCTAACGACTTCCTGGGTGAGAGAGAGTGCATGTGTATCCCCAAGGTAAATGCATTTCTATTAGGGAAGAAAACCCCGGATATTCCCAGCACAGTTCTCAGGGGCTACCCTCACATAGTAAAGATAGCTTTCTAGCTTTCACGAACGTGAGCCATGAGCGCAGATACTGCTGGAGAGGTGGGAGGGGCTAGAGGGGCCTGCACACTTGGACAGAAGTGGAAACTGCCAGCAGCTCATGTGCTGTGTCGGCAGAGACAGAACAGAGTGGGGCTGAGCACCAGCACAGGTGCCTGGGATATGAACTCATGTAAGTGCCGGAGCCCCAAGCCAGGGAAGGGCAGGGCAGGCCAAGCAGGGGATTCTGGTAGTGGACAAGAGGCTGGGATAATAATAGCCAGAAGCCAATCCAGTAGCTATAGCTCAAGAATCCAAAGGTTCCTGGAGTGTGAGAGCCAGTGGGAGCCAAGGGTTAGATCCAGGCCCTCCCTCAGAACTTGTGGAGCCCCAACGGCTGAGTCAGAGTGCACGAGATCCAGGCAGATAGGTGATGTGGTGGACACTGGAGCCAGGCATAAGCACTGTGGTATGGAGTCCCGCCCAGGTTGGGGAGTGATCACTGCCAATTCTAGAGCAAGAACTGTGGCTGCAGGTGAGTCCTGAAGTGGGCAGGGACCGAGGGTGGGATGCCTGAGGTGGAAGTGTTGGGAAAAATACAGGAGGTACTACTTTTCCAAGGGATCCATGAGAATACGAGAGTTTTGTATGCAGGCAAGGAGGAGGAGCAGCTGGAGAACGCCTAAGCAATTATAACTGCAGCCTTTCTGACAGCAGAGCTTGCTGCCCAGGCAACAGTGGACACAAAGCAATATCCGAAACTTACATGAATCATCTTCATGTTTGTTTTGGTGGCCTGCTGCCCTTTAGCCCCGAGAGTGTCTGAGACTCACTGTGGGAGGTTGTAAACCAGGCCAAGAATGGGCCTCTGCCTTCAGAACCTTGACAGTTTAGTCTCATTCATACAGAATGTGACATAAGCACTCATTCATGAGTGATAGCAACCCACTGGGAGGTTGGTGACATGGGACAGGAGAAGGTGGGGATGGCCAGAGAAAGGACCACTCAGAGAGAGGTAGAGAGGGGAAATGAGTGATGGAGCAAAAGGAGAGAGTGTGAGAGCTTCCATGAGCTCCAGAGAGGTCTGCAAGGATAGACTGCGGGCCCAGGGCAGGGCCTGGGAGAACTTGGGCATTTCTGAGGACCTGGGAGATGGCGGGTGAGTTGTCAAGAGGATTAGAGTACATGGCAGAGCATCAGGCTCCTATGTGGGTTATCACCGCACTGAACAAAGGTGACTGTGGAAGGATGACAGACTTTCCAGAGAGCTCCATGGGGGTCACTGAGAAGGTTTCCCATGATGGTGACCCGCACAAGGTCTTCAAAGGGGGCAGACCATAAAGGAACAGATGCTAAGAAGCAGAAAGGAGGAGGATGGGCAGGCAAGACCTGTGCAGCCAGGAGGGCTGGAGGGTGAATGTGGAGGTGAGAAGGGGCGTTCTCCCAGGGATATGGCAGGGTCCACATGTCAAGAGGTAAAGGAGCCCTCAGAAGGGAAGGACCTATAAGTCAGGGGTGTCCAGCAGCCAGGGCCCCTCCTTCCCTGTTGTTCCATCTTTCATAGCCTCTCCCTTCTCTTCCTTTTCCTTCTCTAAACATCTCTTCCTGTCATCCTTTTGGTGGTCATTATTAGAGATGAGGGGGGATGATCACCGTTGGAGATAGGGGTAGCTTTAGAAGTTAACTCCTGCACTGATTGATTCAACTTCCATGTGATGTTTATGAAAGTTAAATATTGGAATTCTTTACATTTTCTCAAGACAGCAGAAACACTAAAGTCCATAATCGTGATGCTTTTTTTCCTTGCGTGTGGTTGTTTCTCCTTGTTATATCTGTACATTCTTTTTATAAAGAGTCCCCCGTCTGTGCCAGAATGGTTGTTCGTGGCTTTTGTGCCGCTGGTGTTCCCTCCATTCCCACCCTTCTGAATCTACAGGCATAAACCAGTGACCAAAGTGGTGTGGCCTACAATGTACTTGGCATGTTGGGCACCTGAAGTGCTGGATGTGGCACTTGGGGTGCATTCAGGGATGTGCAGTGGGCTCACTGCAAAGGGTAGGTAGGAGGTTCCCAGGTGCCAGGGAGAAGGTGGCAAAATGCCATCCTTGTCACCTGTACATTTTGACCCAGCAACGGGCTGTCTTCTCACTGGGTCTGGAACTGCGGAGCAGTCTGACAGGCTTGGCTGCATCCACTGGGGAGCAGAGAGTAGAAGAGCCCGCTTGCCCTGAAGTCCCCCTGTCACCCCCGAAGAGCCCTACCCCCCAACCCTGGCTGCCTGGGTACCCCAAGGCCCTTATCTAGACCAGGAAGAGGAGCTGACCTCTTTTTGACCTCAAGCCTGATGCCTCAGAGTCAACATCATTCATCTACAGTATTTTTTCTTTCCTTTTATTTTTTTCCTTTGTTCTTTACAGAGCTCAGCAGTCAGCCCAAGTCTGGAAATTTCCTCAGAGCCTCCTGGATAGTAAGTCGTCACTCTCTCGTTTGCATGGCTTCATGTGTCTCACGTCAGAAATGGGGTGGGAGAGGCTTGTGTGTTGCTCACACAGTCTGATTGGTACAAGGATTCTTCCAGAAGCTTGTGACCCAATGAAATTTAAAAATAAGTTTATTCTGGCACAAAAATTAAAATGCATGCCTGGTTTTTTCATACTCCAGATTTGTCATGACTCTTTTGAAAACGCCTGTGTGTGGCTTCAGCTCAGGTCAGGTTTGGCAGTAAGCAGCAACTCCTGGTGTTCCTCAGGTGCTTTCTTCACTTCCATGTCCTGCATATCACCTCTGATAAGCTTCCCCTCTGTAGTTGTCTCCCCCTGGGAAAGTGAGTTTATTTGTCTTAAGTCTGGAATCAGAGTTCTCTGTGAACTATTGTGGGGCGGTTGAGGGGGAGGAAAAATGTGACAAAAAGGGCTGAATATGAAATAAGGACTGGGTTTCCTGGGGATTGGGTCCTCAGGCCAACCCATTGGAAAAGTGAGGCCCAGAGGGGATGACTTACTCTATGCTCACACAGTTGGGGGGCTGTTTCCCCTCTGTCAGTTCTTAAAACTGTGTCTGTGTGTTGCCTATACCACCCCTTACCTCTTAGGGAGACCACCAGCCTCTTTGCCCAGAACCTCTCCTGGCCCTCCTGACTTCTCCAGTTTGCTTTTCTCAGTGCTTTGCTGTGCAGCAATTATCCTAGTTGGAAATGTCCCATAGCACCTTACTCATTGTATGTGTGGTCAATGGCAAACAGCTTAGCTTATGGTAAATCAGTCCTAGCTGCGCCTTCCCTTGCCCAGCCGCACTTGATGGTTCCCCAGGTCCTTTCCTTCATTACCATCCACTTGCATTATATGCCTATGCTTTTATAATGACTGGTAAGGTACAAACAACTTGAGGACCACACCTTCCAAACAATAAACATGGGTTGGGAACATTTCCTGCAGGCACAAACAGCCATGGCCAGTTCCATGCAGGTTGGTAAATGCATGGTGAGCAAAGGGGTGACGTTTCTGGATTTGGGGGCCTCTGGCATGTGCCACTTCTCTTGCAAGAGATTTCACTTAAAAATCAGTCGGACAAGGTTGGAGTATTTCAGTGGGAAGATGAAAAAGCTTTTGTCCTTTAAAGGTGACAATAAAAAGTTCTAGCAAGATCCATTATGTTAATTTTCTCTATAAATACACGTATTTTGTACTTAATGTACCCAGGAGCATAAGAAGAGATAGGAGTAGATAGTGGAGGAGAAGCCTTCTGCCTTCAGCCACAGCTCCCACCAGGGAAAGGAAGGTGGAGAGCCTGTTGTTCCCACTCTGGTGTTGGTGACCAAACTGCCAGGGTGAAAGAGGCCACCTGCTACCTGCCCTCCCTCCGTCCACCCGGGCCTCAGGCTCACACTTGTGAAGAGCTCCCAGTGGGGTTTGGCTTCAGCTCCCAGGACACAGCAAGTCGAGGTTCTTCTAATCCCCCAGGGATGGGCTTTCTGAGCTAGAGACCACCAGATGACCTCAAGTTCCCTGCAGATGAAGGGCCTTCTCAAGGCCACGGCTCTCAGCCGACTCCCTTTGGTCCCGAAATCAGCTGTTCATTCTCAGAGTATCACTGAGGTGACTTTTTTTTTTTTTTAAGATTTATTTTTGTTGAAAAGTCAGATATACACAGAGAAGGAGCGACAGAGAGAAAGGAAGATTCTCTGTCCATTGATGCACTCCTCATGCGGCCACAGCAGCCAGAGCTGAGCTGATCTGAAGTCAGGAACCAGGAGTTTCTTCTGGGTCTCCCATGTGGGTGCAGGGTCTCAAGGCTTTGGGCCGTCCTCGACTGCTTTCCCAGGCCACAAGCAGGTAGCTGAATGAGAAGCAGGGCTGTCAGGATTAGAATTGGCGCCCATAAGGGATCCTGGCGCGTTCAAGGCGAGGGCTTTAGCCACTAGGCTACTCTCCCTTTCAAATCAGTTGAGATTTGAAAGTCTGAAGGAGTAGGAAAGAGATCTTCCATTTGGTTTACTCCCAAGATGGCTGCAATGGCCAGGGCGTAGCGAGGTTGATTTCAGGAAACAGGATCTTTATCCAGGTCTCCCGTATGAGTGACAGGCCAAGCATTTGGGCCATCTTCCACTGCTTTTCTCAGGCTACTATTTGCAAAGAGCTGGACTGGAAGTGGAATGATTGGGACACAAACCAGCCACCACATAGGGGTGCCAACATCACTATAGAACAGTATACCCCGACTTGGCCCTGTGACTGGTGCTTTAGAATCAGTGAGTGTTAGCCCTGCTGCTAGGTCTTAACCCTCACCTCCTCACCCCTGCCAGCCCACTAAGCCGACATGTGTGCTTTGGATGGCTGGCTGAGTTGGGTTCCTTAGCTCTGAAGGATCTAAGTGTGGTGCTGGATATAGTAGTATCAATGTAGAAACAGTCCTTTAATTTTGTGGAAAACATACACTCACACGAATACATACACACTAAATATTAGTGGAAAAACAAAAAAGCAAGCAATTCAAATGGATTGTAAGAGTTCCAAGTATTCAGAGGAGGACGTAGCTACCAGCAGCAGGGAGTGTTAGGAGCACAGACCTTAAAATCAATGGTTTATTGAATGTTTACCATGTGCCAGGCCCAATGTTTAACATCTTATCTGTACCTCACTTAATCCTCTAAACATTCCAGGATCAAGAATTGTCTCTCTCCCCCTTTTTTAAGGCATATCTATTTATTTGAAAGTCAGACTAACAGAGACCAGGTCTTACATCTGCTGGGTCACACGTCACTTTCCTGATGGCCACGATGACTGGGGCTGGGCCAGATCGAATCTGGGAGCCTGGAATTTCATCTGGGTCTCCCACATGGGTGGGAGGGATCCAAGTACTTGGATCAACATCTACTTTTCAGATGTGTTAGTCGAGAGTGGGAATCAAACCAGTGCTCCGATATGTGATGCCACGAGCCACAGCGCCAGCCCCCAGGCGTGGTTCCAACCCCCCCTTCTGTGAAAAAGGAAAGGAACCCCTTCCAGGTGCACCACACAGGATTCCACAGCTGCCACATGGGTGGCTCTCCAAAGCAGAGTAATGAAGCTGTGGTTCAGGGGGAGGGCTGTTAGCAGTGACCTGTCACCTGCTTCGTAGTGATCCAAGTTTGGTAATAAATTAACAGAAGACAACCTAATGTCTGCTGTTTTGGAGCTATGAGAAAACAAGGCAGGCAGCTGTCTGATGCTGAGGGAGCTGGGTGGACAGAGACTAATGTGCTTGAAAGAGCAGGTGTTCATTCAGACCCCTCAGCACACTATCAGCAGGTTCCTTCACCTCACTCGTACTTACATCCCTGGAACTTTGACCAACCATAGCCGTTCTCATTGGATACTTGCCAGGAATGAATGAATTTTTCCCTCCTGCTCTTCCACCAAGTGGGGACTTTTCTGGAATCAGGCTTGATATTCTCCCAGTTTCTTCAAGTATGTAGGATTTTTCTTCATTTGGGATGGATGAGAAACCAGCCTCAGCAGGGTGCCTACCCCCAAGGAAAGTGTGAGTGAGACTAAAGGTGTGCCAATGAGTGATAGGATTTGTGAATCTCTGTGATCTAGACTCCAGGCTGCTTGGCACTGAAGCAGGTGACATGTGGGCTGGGTGGAAGGAAAGGCCATGTGGGAGGAAGAGTTGACTGGACTAAACCTCACGTAAGGGATAGAGACAGACAACCCAGGGTCGCAGCCTTATGGCAGTTGGAGAAGTAGGGCGTGCATCTTGGATGGACTGTAGTTTAACTTGTATTAAATTAGCATTGATTGCACACCACAATATTTTAAAAACCTAGAAGAAATTGAGGGTCCCATTATTCTAGTGCAAGTTTTGCTCTCAAAAAAATTTGTATTTGCTACCACGATGTGTTTTTAACTTTAGATTTAGATTCATTAACATTTTCAGACCCATTAATTAATAGTGCAAACTACTTGTTTTCTATTGTAGCACTTAGGCTTTCTGAAGGACTTTGTTTATGCTATTTAAACAGCAGGTGGCGCCAGAAAGCAAACTGCTCTTTCCTAGGTGGCGCTAGTATGAGCAAAGGAATTTGTTTCCCCTGTATGTGAAAAAACAATCACAACCTGTAAGTTCTGCACCCAATATTAGAAAATGTCCTTGGTAATCAATGGGGCTGGGTTCAAGATTCCAATCCAGACACCCTCATATGGGATGCACTGTCTAAACGCCGGGTGCCCACCCCCTAGGTTGTATTTGCATCTGTCCTGTTCCGGATTGAATCCCCACCCAGGAGAATAATGGACAGGGGCTCTGTTAGTATCTCTTCAGTGAGAAAATGACCAAAGAGCTGACATGACATGATCTCTAGAAATATGATCAGCAGTGAATGTAAAGACAAATGTGAAGGCTGTGGGGAGATGGGGTGCGCATTGCTGAGCTGGAGGTGTTCCCCAGGAAGGCAGAAAGAACCAAGAGTGTCCTGTGTCAGGCCTGGGGAAGAAGGAGGTCTGGCAGGGAAGAAGGGGACTGAATCCTCAAGCATGGCTTCCCAGTGTGGGTGGTGGAGCAACAGAGCTGAGTTCAGTTTGGGCATGTCCGTCGAAGATGCCTGAGCCTGTTGGGAGCAGCTGTGCCTGCAACACAAGGAGAAATGTGTGCGTCACAGAGGTGCAGGTGGCTTTCTGTGCTCACCTGCCTTGTATATGAAGGAAATGAAGCTGAAACAGACTGCAGGGTTTTACCAGATCTGGTTTGTATCAACTGAACCACATGCCTGGCTGGAGTCCTGGCCTCTGGGGACCCTATCTGCAGCCTACAGGGCCCCTTCTGCTTGCCCTGTAGGGGACAGCTGGCCTTGGTGCCCGCTGTATTTACCCAGTGAATGTGTTCTTTGTTGATTCCACTGGAAACCCAGCAGCCAGTTCTACACCTGAGCACAAGGCTGAATTAATTGCCTATGCTGCCGCCTGCTGGCTCGCTGTGTCTGAGCCTAAGCCTGGCTCAGCCCCTACTGCTGAGAGCAGAGCACTTCGCCTTAGATTGTTATGTCATTGTCAGTGACCACTGGCTGTAGTGGTTTTCTCCGGCAGCTGAAGTTGTGAGGTTGCTTCCCTTGTCCTCAATGAGTTACTTGGATATGGCAAGAACCCTACATCCGAGGACGTGTGTGGTGAAACAGCTTGTCTCCTTGTTCCCAGGGACAAATGTCATCTCCCTTTCCCTGCTTGGGGAGAGCAGAGGAAATGGCACATAAACTTGTAGGGGCCAGCCACAGTGGCTTAGCATGGGCACCAGTTCAAGACCTAGCTACTCCATTTCCTGTCCAACTCCCTACCAATGGCCTGGGAAAGCAGGAGAAGATGGCCTAAGGATTTGGGCCCTTGCATGCATGTGGGAGATCCAGGTGAAGCTCAAGGACCCCGAGTTTAGTCTGGTCCAGCTCTGGTCGCTGTGGCCATTTGGGAAGTGAACTAGCAGGTGGAAGATTCCTAACCCCCCATCCTCCTTTCTTTCTGTAACTCTGCCTTTCTCATACAAGAATAAGTAAGTCACTTCTTAAGAAGATTTATTTGTTTATATTGGAAAGGCAGATTTACAAAGAGAGGGTGAGACAAAGATCTTCTATCTGCTGGTTCACTTGCTAAATGGCCACAACAGCCAAAATTAAGTCCATCTGAAGCCAGGAACCTCCTCTGGGTCTCCCACGCTGGTGCAGGGTCATCCTCCTGTGCCTTCTGAGGCAATAAGCAGGGAGCTGGATGGAAAATGGAACAGCCAGGACATGGACCAGCACCCTTATGGAATCCTGGTGCTTGCAAGGGGAGGATTAGCCAGCCAATTGAGGCCATCACACCAAGCCCTCCTTTTTTTTTTTTTTTTTTTTCCCTAAAGCAAAGAGAAAGAGAACTTTCTGGTTCTCAGGTCTTGTCTTTATACCAGGGGTGCTCGTGTTGCAGCTTGCTGCACATCTGGAAGAAGTATTGTTCTGTGGACGTTGGGATAAGGGGGCAAACAATGGGCTATAGCAGAGCCGTCCTGAAAGGTTTCCTGCATGCTGGTGTGTGGTTCTGTGGGAAGCAGGAAGAACCAGCAATGTGGGGTGGAATACAGCCAGCAGGCATTGGACAGTCCCGGGTGCGCGAGTGTTGGTGACCGCCAAGGTGGAGTGGGGAGGCTGGGAGCCCCAGTTCAAGGAGCTCAGGAAGGAGGTTCCCACATTCTCATTTCAAGGTACAGCAGCTCCTGCAGGAGGGAGGCAGCTGTGGTCACTGCTCAGTACCATAAAGGGGTGAGAGGCCAGAGCAAGGTCAGCATGACCCCTGGGACTGTCCCCTCTCATGGCTCTTGGTCAGCAGGAGAAAGCACAGCTGCATATGGATCCTTGTGCAGATGAGAGTGTACAAAAATGGGGAAACACAGGTCAAAGGGAAGAACAAAAGTAGAAAACAAAGCCAAAGGGAAAGGGGTGAACTGTGAGTGGGACATTTAGACAAGGGGCAGAATTTGTTTTAGTTGGGAAATTCACTGTTAAAGCCAGTTTGAATTTTTGTTAATTACATATTTTAGTTGAAGGAGAAAAAAATGTTGGGTCCACTATTATACTCTCCATATGCCTCCACCAGCTGGAGCAGGGCCAGGTAGAAACCAGGAGCTCAATTTGGGTGCCTGTGTGGGTGCAGATGGCCAGCTAGAAGCCAGGAGCCCAGTCCAGGTGCCTGTGTGGGTGCAGATGGCCAGGTAGAAGCTAGGAGCTCAATCCAGGTTCCCCTTGTAGGTGCAGGGACTCCAGTACTTGAGCCATTACCTGCTGCCTCCCACGGTGTTCGTTAGTGGGAAGCTGGAATTGGGGGTGGTCCTGGGGTTTGAACCCAATATGTTGGGATGGATCCCAACAGATGCCTCAACTGCCAGAACAGACACCTGCCCCTCAACCAGTTGAAATGTGCTTCTGTTGAAATATGGTACTGCAACCTTGCAAACCACCTTCAGGAATTCCCCAGCTTTTCCATAGGAACTGACAGCTTTGACCAGTCAGAATCAGGGAAGAGGTGTCAGTGTGCTCCTTGTAGCATCTAGGAGGGGAGCGTGAGGGTGCTCATCCTTGTAGTTCATCGAGCCTTTCCAGGGATTTGGGAATATTTTGAGTGCTGCATTGAGCAGGAGGAATTCTATCAGGCTGTGCATTTTCAGAGCTGACCAAATCACCAACGGAGAAGGCAGCAGCCTCCCAGACATCGGGTTGTGTGTCTGTGGGCAAGGTGGGCTCTCACTCAAAAAGGATGTGTGTCTGTCCATGAACTGGTGTCAGTAAATGAGGCAGGAGATGGTGGGTCAGGGAAGGGAGGGGCTCTGTGAGGGAGAGCTACTCTTAACGTGCTGTGTCACTTCCTTCTCAAATGAGTTTGTGGTAATATGCAAAAACAGAAACACCTGGATGTTAACAAGACACAAATGCATGAAAGACACAGGCAAGAGTTCACACACACAGCGTATGTCATGAAATTCCCAGCACCAACTCTGGGAGACTTGGCTTTGATGAGAGCAGCACACAGACCAATTTTGCTTGGTCCCTGATTTTCCTGAAGACCCAAGACAGCCGCTTCTCCTCCTTCCCCTGTGGGTTGAACACTCTCCAGCCGAAGCGCTCCTGAAGAATAAAGTAGCACGTTATACCACTACTTACAACACTAGCATCCCCTATTCACATCCCAGCTGCTTTACTTCCAATCCAGCTTTCTGCTAATGCCCCTGAGAAGGCAGCGAAAGGTAGCCCAGATAGAGATCCAGGCTTTGTAACCATCTCTGCATCCTTTGCAACCATCTGGAGAAGATCTCTGTTTCTTTTTGCCCATCTCCCTTCTCTGCCTTTCAAAATCTTTTGGGCCGGGGGAAGGAGTGGCTCTAGTAGTGGACTTCAGGTAGCTGACATTAGCTGACACTGGCTGACCACATGCTACAGGGATATGTGCTGACTTTCTCTTCTCTCCTTAACTATTCCACCTTGTGTGCAACCATGGGTCCCCTCTCTGTCCCTCTGTCCTCTCCCACTACGCTTCCCCATGTCACCTCCAGTCCCCTTCCCTCCATAGGCAGGATTTTGCCATCACTTTTAAAAAACACAAGTGCAGTTGTCTCTGGGCCCCTTGCTGTTTGCATGCAAGGTTTCATGGGCTAGTCTTGTCTGTGTAAGTCTGACTATTAGGAGGCTCTGTTAAAAAGGCAATGCCTGATTAGATGCCAAGAAATGGACTTCCATTCCTCTTCAGGGAGTATGCTGCTTAGACATTTGATCTTAGCAAAATGCCTAGAAGCGATGAGTATGCTGTTTAGGAAAGTACTAATGGTGCTGTCTCCTCTTCCCTGCCTCCTTGTTCCTAGTGTGTATTCTTCCAACTTGCACGCAGTGAAGAGGGAAGCAGAAGGTGTTCCGGGGGATCTCGCTAGCCTGGAGAACGAGAGGCAGATTTATAAGAGCGTCTTGGAAGGTGGCGACATCCCTCTCCAGGGCCTCAGTGGGCTCAAGAGACCATCCAGCTCGGCTTCCACAAAAGGTAGTTACCGGGGAGAAGCCCACGGACCTCTGTCTCCCACAGCACCCGTTACCTGAGTGCCAGCAGCCGGTGGTCTCCAGCACCTGTGAACTTGACCCTGTTTAGATCCACATCCAGGCCCTGGAGCCCCTTGTGTCCCCTGACCAGTTTTCTCACCGGCCATTTTTCTTTCTGGTTTTAATAGTTTCCCTTCCCTTGACTCCTGACCTTGCTCTCGCTGAAGCATCTCTCTCTCTCTCTCTCTCCCTCCCTCTTTCTAATTCCCTTTTCTTAGGAACTAGCTGAGCTTCAGCCTTTCCTAACGAGCAAGGTGGCCATTTTTTCCGTTGCATCTCTTGCACCTGCTTTGCAGCACAAGATTATTTTGCTTCCAGACATCAACTGGGGATTTTTTTTTTAAAGTCCTTACAACCAATGAGCATGTCACCTCTCCTTTTTATTATTATTTTTTTCCTTTGGTAGCAGCTTCTGGCTTTAACCTAATGGGTCTGTTTATTTTATTCTGCATGCTTACCAGTGGATCGTAAAGGTGGGAATGCTCACATGATTTCTTCATCTTCAGTTCATAGCCGAACGTTTCACACTAGCAGTGTTGTAGGTCCCGGGTGTAAGCACAAGAAACCCCTGTCGGCTGCGAAAGCCTGCATTTCGGAAATCCTCCCTTCTAAGTTCAAGCCCAGGCTGTCTGCACCCGGTGCCCTTCTGGCAGAACAGAAGAGAGTGCTGCTGCCCTCAGAGAAGGCCCAAAGCTGCGAGAACCTCTGTGTCTCAGGGTCCCTGGGTGACTCCAGGAGAGGTCTCCCGCTCCAAGTTGGGGGGAGCATCGAGAACCTGCTGATGCGCTCACGGCCCGAATTCGACAGCAGATCAGGCAGCACCATGAGCCTGCAGGAGTACGGCACCAGCTGCAGGAGGCCCTGCCCTCTCTCCAGGAAGGCCGGCCTGCAGTTCAGCATGCTGTACCGCGACATGCACCAGATCAACCGAGCGGGCCTTTCCCTGAGTTCCGTCTCGTCCTCGAGTGTGAGAGACCTGGCCTCCCACTTTGAGCGGAGCAACCTGATGCTGTCCCGGGGCGAGCTGGGCTCCAGCCAGGAGGGCTCGGAACACATCCCCAAGCACACCGTCTCCTCCAGAATCACCGCTTTCGAGCAGCTGATCCAGCGATCCCGGTCCATGCCATCCCTGGACTGGTCTGGCAGGCTGAGCAAGTCCCCCACACCCCTGCTGTCCCGGAGCGGCCTGACCTCTGCTCGCTCGGCCGAGTCCCTCCTTGAGTCCACCAAGCTCCGTCTCAGGCCTGTGGATGGGGTGCCCACTGGTGGACTTTACGCCTCCCCTACATGCAGCAACATGGCGGACCACAGCTTGAGCTTTAGGGGCCTCGTGCCTTCAGAGCCCCTCTCGACCTGCTCTGATGAGCTCGACCGCTGCTCCAATGTCTCCAGTGACAGCAGAGAGGGCAGTGGCGGCAGCGTTCATGGAGACCTCCCCAGACACCGCCTCAACAAGTGCAAGGGCACATGCCCTGCCTCCTACACCCGCTTCACTACCATCCGCAAGCATGAGCAGCAGCAGGCTCCCAAGCAGCCCGAGTGGCGCCTGGAGTCCAAAGGGGACAAGGGCACCCTGCTCAGGAACATCTATCTGATGAGCCCTCTCCCTTTCCGGTTGAAAAAGCCCCTCCAGCACTCCCCCAGACAGCCTCACCCTGGCGACTCCTCCTTGGGCCTCCCTGGTCAACCCCAGCCGGACCAGCCGCCCTCCGGAGGGAAGCCATTGGTCCCCACACGCCTGTCTTCCCGCCACGCCATGGCCAGGCTGAGCTGCAGCTCAGAGCCCGTTGCTGGGGAGAGACCTGCGACCCCCGAGGATGGCCCCGGGGCCTTTAGTAACGGGAATCCCATGCCGTACTCTGACCACGGCCTGGACAGGAACAACAACCCACAAAGCGAAGGGGCGCCGGCGCGTGGAGGTGGCATTTTGCGTGTCTCACAGTGTTGCCTCTCCTCTCATCCTCCCCCACTCTGCCTGTTTGCACCCTGGTCCTCCATGTGCCCTCAGTGCTCATTTTCCAACCTGTCATTTGTTTTCCGTTTGTTTTTGCTTGGCAATTAATCATGGCTCATAGTGGCTGCACTCCTTCAAAAACAGCGCCCCCATGTCATTCAGACTAACCACCAAACCGTGTCGCGAAAGAAAAATTGGCCGTTTAGCTCATTTGAGAAATGTATTCATTTGAACTCCCGGATCCCACTGCTGCCTGCACCCATCCTTGAGGCACCTGTGGGCTTTTGAGAGGCAGCCTCTCTCAGTGGCCTGTGTGTATGTGTGTGTGTCGGGGATGGGGGGTGTCCCCAGAGGAGCACTTACGCCTCTTTGGGGTGGGGGACACTCTGCCAAGAAAGTGCCTACCTCTTGCTCACCTCTCGCCTTCTCATCAGTTCTCACTGTTCAACAAGTTCACAGTCAGTCCAAGGGAGCAAGAGGGGCGGGCATGGGTTGGTTTCTCTTCTTCCGGAACTGACTGCTGAGCCTTAATCAACGTTGATTGTAAAAGCTTGATAATAGAGAAAAGGCTAGATCCTCTCCCCACCTGGTGCCCGGCCACCTCTGGACCTGATTTAACTCTTCCTTTGTTGTTTTGAAGATTCGGAGTCACCAAGACACTTCATCCCAGCCGATTACCTGGAATCCACAGAGGAATTCATCCGCAGACGTCACGACGACAAGGAGGTGAGTCCCCTACCTCTGCCCAGGAGCGAGCGAGAGGCTGGCATTGTGGGTGTGTGTAGAAGACGCAAGCTGCTCCTGCCATGACAGCAGAGACTGCGGTTTTCCCATGTGACTTTGTAAGTGCTGTAGATTCTGACATTTTCTCTGAATCCAATCTTCTGGAAAATGAATCCAAGGACTTCACAGGCAGGAGATTGTAGGCGCCATGTCCAGCCATTCCCACTACATGGGAGATACAGCAAGAGGCCGCCCAGCACTCTGCTCACTGCCTTTTAAGAGGGAATTGGGACTTTGTGCCTTTGTCCTTCTTTGCAGCTGCCCCCACTGGGATGGACCCTGGGGAAATCCTCCCACGTGCTTGCCTGTGTTGTCTGCCCCTCTGCTAGCTCAGAGCACGGTGCACTGTGTAAGAGTGCAAAAGCAGAGAGTACTATGAGAAGTACAGGGTAACAAGCATGCTACCTTCTATTGAACAGTCTGAAGAAGTCGCCTGCAGCTCAGGAGGACAGTGTCTCCATGAACATGGGCAGACCCCAGTAGAGAATGTCAGAATGGGGTTTGCTGCAGTGACACCAGGTTCTAGCCTGCAGGGCTGGGTCTGGCAGAGCCTGGGGAAGAGCCGGCTCACCTGGTGATGTCAGTAGTTGGGTCTTAGCAGTCCAATAGGGAAAAGTATCTGCTGTAGTAGAGCATTCTCCTAAGGTGTGCCCCGGGCTTCAACTTCCCAAGGAATAGGGTCAAACGGATGGAAGACATCCAAGGTTGCCTGTTTATTGAGAGCTGGGAACAGAGGGCACAGTGGGAGGCTGTTCTATGTGCACATCTCTGTCTCTTAAAAGTCCGAGCACTGTTGGTTTTTTTTTAAATCTTGTCCCATCGTGCTGAGCGGTTCCAGAGTTGAGGTGGAGTCTCCTTAGAGTTTTGGGTGTGGTCGACTTTGGGACCTGGATGCTGATAGCCATTGCTTCCAGTTGATGAGAAGATAGAAAATAAAACATGCCTAGACCAACCCCCAGCCCCATGTGCAGGGATAGCGAGCCGGTGTTCAACAAGACACTGCACCTGTCTGGGGAGAGAAGCCAGAGAAAGTGTTGAATGTACAGAATTATTTGTAATAACAAGATCTAGAACTCCAGTTGGTGAATAAAAGCAGAGTCATTTCTGTAGCTCTTAGTTAAATGTCTCCTGTCCCCAGGATCTGAGAGTGCCGCATGGCTAGATCTGGGTGCTCTTGTGGAGAGAAGTTGAGTTCCACTGTGGTCTTACCAACACTGAGTGGTGAAGTCTCACCTGCTCCATGTGGGGCTTACATGCTTGGTTTTATCATAGACATACTGTAAATTGCACACGGAAGATGTGTGTCTTCTTTCCTGAGTGACCCCAGTCCCGGTGATCCTGAACAGTGTGACCTTTCAGTCACTGTTTGTGCCTCCTGTGGCGACACTGTGGGCCTGGTGGCTTTTACTAGGTCAGACCCAAGCACAGGTCTGGAGCCTTAGCTCCCTTCCCTGTCCACTTCCACTGATGCTGGAATTTGGAGCAGGGACTTGTAGCAGCAGCAAATGTAAGTCCTTCCCCCTTCCCACTGGAGTGGTGCATACTTCCCAACAGATCAGGTGTCAGTCTGCACCTTAAATCTTTTTTTTTTTTTTTTTTGGAAGGACAGATCAGATTTACAAAGAGACAGAGAGAAAGATCTTCCATTTGCTTACTGGTTCACTCCCCAAATGGCCAGAGCTGAGCCAATCAGAAGCCAGGAGCTTCTTTGATCTCCCATGTGGGTGATGTGGGTGCAGAGTTCCCAGGGCCATCCTCTACTGCTTTCTCAGGCCATGTGGGATCCAGGCTCTTGCAAGTTGAGGGTTTAACCATTCAGCCATCATGCCAGGATGCAGTCCTGCACCTTTTAAAATAAACCTATCACTTGATGATACTAGTGTATTCATCTACTAGGGGAACACCTGCTCTTATGTAGGGAAGGACCATGTGGTCATAGTTCACCTGGGGCTGCCTGGCAACCAAACTTAGACCAGAAGCACAGATGGAAGCCAGGGCTCCGATCCTAGGCCAGTGCTCTTCATGTGGCACTGTGCTTTGCAAGGAGCCTCCTTACATCTTCCTTCATTTAATCTTTGCGACAATTTGTTGAACCCTGGAAACATTAGAATTCCGTTCTATGAGTCTATTTGTTAAAAAGCAACATTGTTTATCTTTTCTTTCTTTTTTTCTTAAGTATTATTTTTCATGATATATTTGAAAGTCAAAGTTACAAAGAGAGGTGGGAGGAAAGACAGAGAAACCTCCAAAATGCTGGCTCATTCCCTAAATGACCACATCAGCTGGGGCGGGGCCAAACTGAAGCCAGGAGCTAGGAGCTTCATCTGGGTCTCCCCATCGGTATGGGAAGCTCAAGTGGTTGGCTCAACTTCTGTAGCTTTCCTAGGCACATCAGCAGGAAACTGAATAGGAAGTGGAACAGCTGGGACTTGAATTGGTGCCCATATGGGATGCCAGCATTGTGGGCAGCAGGTTAATTTGCTATGCCACAACACAGTCCCCATTATTGTTCATCCTAAGAAGCCTTGTAAATGACTATTTTCATAGTATAGGAAACACTGTTTCTTTGTTCCTAGTTGTTATATGTATGTTCTTTGTTGCACCGTTAAGCTCAGCCTCATTTCTTTGAGAGGCCACATAGCTCAGTAGGACAGCAGCTGTGGCACAGTGTCAGCCACATGGTAGACTGGTAAGTATTCTAGGATCTCCTAAAATGTTACATTCACAGGGAAGAGCGAGCTGGTTTAGGAAAAGCAATGCCGTGTTCTTTAGAATAGGCAACTTTGTTATATGGAGAGCATATTAGTAACAGAAGCAGCACAAAAAATGACCTGATATTCATAGCCAACTCCAGAGGGTAAAAAGCCCATAGTGGGTTTAATGGAACAAAAGGACTCACCTGCCCATGTCCTGCAGTGGGAATGTGCAGGTGAGGTCAAGGTAGCACTTCCAGCCTCCTGCTGCTGGCCCAGCATGCTCGGGAAATACCCTGGATGTGCTTCTGGGTCACCTGACCTCCATCACCAGACAAAAGGCTTGGGCTGAGCCCGGGTCGTCAGCTAGCTGTTGTGACCATGCGGAATCATCCTTCCCTGTGTCCAGCTTTCCCCAGTTTCTTCCTGAGCAGCGCTGGCTGCTGCCTCTAGAGTGAGTGGGGAGGGTGGTTGCCGAGAGAAGCTAGCCCCCGTGGCCACGAAGCCGCTCTGACACCTGACCCTGAGAGTCTCCAGCTGCTCACCCCGCTCCTTCTTCCCGAGTTGCTTTTGTTAGCAGTTCTCCTGTACCCTGAACCAGATGATTCACTGCCCATTTTATGCGATTCCATGGCAGAAACTTTTAGCGGACCAGCGACGACTTAAGCGCGAGCAAGAAGAGGCTGATATCGCAGCGCGCCGCCACACAGGCGTCATCCCCACACACCATCAGTTTATCACTAACGAGCGCTTTGGGGACCTCCTCAATATAGACGATACTGCAAAACGGAAATCTGGGTCAGAGGTCTGTTTTGGTCACCTCGGTTTGCTGCTTTGAACCAAAGCAATGATCTGCCTCCCTGCAGCACTGCCCTCTATAAGCCAACCTAGTGTTCCAGACAGTGCCCGTTGTGCTGGCTTCCTTTGGGCTTGCTTTGGCTCTTTGGTGGCTGCTGAATGGACAAGAGCCCGCCATGTCCTGTGCTCAGTATGTTCAAGCATGCGTGGCTGTGGAACTGGGAGCTGCTGGCGCACACCCTAATGCATGCCCTAGAGCATCGGCTGCCTTCATGAGTCCAGTCCTCCTCCTTCACCTTGCATTTTATCATGATACTGTGTTGCCTGTGCATTCCGCTTCGTCCATGTGCCATGGTAGCTGTAGGGTGGGCAGTTCTAAGATTATTCTCTGAAGAGGTCACCCAGGAAGCGTATTATGGAAGTCAGCTGACAATACTTCATACCATATACACGGGCCCCCATTTTCAGTGACATTATTGAAACTGCAGAGAACAACACCCATGTGCAGGGATAAGCGCCGCAAATGAATGCTGGAACACGTCACCGGGGAATGTTGCAACATGCAGATTTTTGCATTTAGGGTGAGGCAAGCACTCAGAGAAGCACTTCATTTGTGTTCTCAAATTTTCACGTTTCTAAGCTTAGATTTTTGAAAGCCTAATGTTGCAAAAGAAACAAATAGCAGATTTTTGAAGTGATTTCCTTCAGGTCATGGGCCCCTGCACTGAGGTCAGCATGTCGAAATCCTTGTGCTGGCCAAATGCTGCCTCTTGCGTAAGAATTTATGCTTTTGCTCTGTAACCCTGTGTGGCCCTGCTGGGGATGATCTCCTGATCCCCCAAGTGTGAGGCTCCATGTGGGGAGACAGTGGTATGGAAAAGCTCCTAGAGTTTTAGAGGCTTCCCATAGAGTAGATTAATACTAGTGTTTCTTCAGACTGGTAGGCATCATTGGCTGCTCATCATTCTTGTAAGAAATAGAGTATCTGGGAAGAAGAGATAGGGAAAAAATGAAAGCAGATGAAAGAAGGAAAAGAGAAGAAGAAAAACAAAGTACATCAGGGAAGAAGCAAGAGTGAGTGAGTGTTGCTAGAGGGATAGTCCTTTGGTGCTCAACATTCTAACTGCTGCCTAAAACTGTTCCCTGGGTCTCTGTGTCATCTGCTTATTGACAGGCCCACCTGCTCACGAGGGATACAGAAGATGGGAGTATACAAAGGCACCCTACTGATGTGTACAAAAGACTGTGCAGCCTGGGCAGAGGCAAGCAAGCCCCCTCCCTAATGAACCTTGGCACCCTTCTAGAGCAGTGGTGTTGTGAATCTGCATCACGGTCCCTTGGAAGGCTTGCTGCTCAGCTGCAGATACCTAGGTCTGATCTGTAGTTTCTGGGATGAGGCCTGAGAATTTGCATTTCTAATATGTTTCCAGGTGAAGTTGATAGTTTGAAAATCTCTACTCCAGAAGTCAGCTGCTGGGCTTGAGAAAGCAGAGCCCAGCAAGCCCCAGGCACGCCATACTCTGTGCATGTAGTTATGTCCCATTCAGCAGAACCTCAGGTGACTGCTGAACCTGTCTGAGACCCTGTAGGCAACAGAAGCAGTACCCAGACCATGCTCTTCAGAATTGATAATAAAAGTGTTTCTCTCCACACAGTTGTGTTCATCCTGCATTAAATAGCGCATTACAGTGAGAGCCAGAGAAAGGGAAAATGGGTTTAGCCTTGGAAGCCAATTAGGGAGACAGAGAGATGCTGTTGCTCGTCTTGTGTCACCAATGACTGACATGGAGTGTAACTCAAGAGCTCAGTGGAATCACTATTCTCAACCTTGAGTAATGCATGAAGTAAACAAAAAATCTGCTGTTGCCTAGTATTGGTCCAAGTCAATTTACAGATAGTAGTGAACTATATACCTGTACAACTTTATTAATTTGATAATATGGGTTTGAATTCAGCTACCATTCGAAGTCCGAGTGTGGTGCTATCTTAGTATAAGATTCTTCTGAATAGTAGAGTAACAGAGAGGGAGAGATGCAGAGAGAAAGAAATCTTGCATATATCGATTTAATGTCCCAGATAGTTACAACAGCCAAATTGGACAGGCCAAAGCCAGGAGCTGCATCAATTCACTTGGGCCCTACTCCACTGCTTTCCTAGACACATTAGCAAGGAGGTAGATCAGAAGCAGAGCTGCAGGCACTCAAACCATCACTCCGATATGGGACACAGGTATTGCAGGCAGCAGCTCCTCTTGGCTACACTACAGTACCAGGCCCATGATCACAGCTCTGCAGTGAGGTCACATGAGGTGACCTACTTCTTCCTCCAGTTTTTCTCTTGGAGTCTCTGTGAAATGTTTGCCCTTGCAGCTTTGAACGTTTGGCCTTTTCATAAACTTTCCATTTACCACCTGTTTGCTTGTTCATGTGCAGCTGTGAAGTCATACTCTTTGGGTACAACCAGATGCAGGCATTGAAGTGGTGTGGTGTTAGTATAGGCTGGTCATTTAGGGCTCTCATATGTACTTGTGTAGACATAGATAGATGGAAACATAGCAGGGAAATGTGAAATATAAATATTCCCATTGAGAAACGATTCCTCAGATCTATACGACTCTGCCTTGAGGAGCTAAGAGACATGAGACATATCACCAAGGGATTTGGTTTCAAAACTGGACTTGATAAAGCCTTTAAATTCCATTTCATAATCACCTACAAGGTTCCACTGCTCCCGGCCTCTCCTGTTAAGAAAAACACGTGTCATTCTGTCTTTAACACACTGTTTCTCTAGACCAAAGGTCACAGCAATCGAGCAGCTCGTGATGGGGGATAGAGTCACACCAGCAACCAGAAACAGCTCATTCTCCTCCCCTACCACCCACCAACCTTCCTTTGAAAAGTTGGTTAAGTAACCAAAATGTGAGGCAGGAAGATATGCAAATAAACGTAAGTCAGGGTGAACTTCTTGCTAGAACTGGAGCCTAAGAGAGAAGGGAGTTGGCCAGCATGTTTATGTGACTGAACAGGAAGGGTGTCAGAGACCATGGCACTTAGATGAGGATGTGGAGAAAGGGCTCGGGGCCTTGACCCCTGTCCGGAATGGAGATTGGATCCCAGGGACAGTTGCAGCCAATGTAAGCAAGGAAGTGATAGGAGGAAGAATTCAAGGAATGTGATTTGTGCTCCCATGTGACAGAAGATTAGGGCTAAGAGAAAGTGAAGTCAAAGGAAGTTTTGTGCTTGTGGGAACTAGAGGCAGATCTGAGCAGTCAGAGCTGCTCAGGGAAAAGGAGGGCCTAGTACTCCATGACAAACTTGAGCAAGAAAAGGAGTGGGTGAGGCTGCCTTCTGGGCCTGAGCATGGGCAGGGAAAGGGCTCCCCCAACAGGAATGGAAGGCTCAACACACGGATGAAATCAAGGGTCACTGTGTCCACTTTGGCCCTTTGGGTGACCCACACACAATAGGAAATATGTGGAATTGAGTTCTATCTACTTGCAGATTGAAATTTGAGCCAGACACATGGAAGATGGGCCCTGAAGTAAAAGACAGTGGGTAAGGAACATCTTAGGACTTCTGGCTGGCTGTGGTAGACATGTTTTAGGGAGCCAGGATTTTGGTTTGGGGACATTTTAACTGTGCCTTCCCCAAATCTGTGCTTCTTCTGAAGGTCCTCATGTCCTCATGCATGATGTCATTGACCAAGCATCTGCTAAGATCAGACACTGGAATTTTGCCCCAGAACTGACTGGTTAGAACGAATTCTTCTGCTTTGCTTTCTAGAAATCTGTGAAAATGTATTCCTTTTCATTGTATATGAATCATGATTCTAACTTGTGATTTTTCTTGTGTTTAGATGAGACCTGCCAGAGCCAAATTTGACTTTAAAGCTCAGACGCTAAAGTAAGTGCTGCCAGTCACTTTTTGGTTTTCTTAGCTGCTGCTTTGAAATATAGTGATTTGCTTGCGGAAAAAAAAAAAAGTTGGAGAAATAACAGCAATGACTCAAAAACAAAAAAAGAAAAAAAATGCCAGTAGTTTATAGAGGTTACTATAAAGCACCATTCAAAAAGGTTTGTGTATGTTAACTCATTGTGCCCTTACTATAACCCTGTGCGGTGGTATGATTATTATCCCCACAGTGCAAATGAGGAAACCTAGGGACTCTGTTGTTGAAGAACTTGTTAAGCTGGCAAGTGATGGAGTTGGATTCAAACCCAGGTAGCCTAGCACCTGGGCTACCACGGGCTGGGCTCTTGTACACTGTGCCACTTTGCTTCCTCCTGTATGGGTTCAGTGTGCTTGATTAAGTGGAACCTGGATCTGACCCACCCACTCTGTGGAAGGAGCCAGAAGCAGGTGTTTTTAGGAAGATGACCTTTCTGATTTTGGTACAGTATCCTAAGGCCTCAAAGGTTCCTGGAACCCACAGGAAGAAGAGTAGTATTTGTCAGAGTGCCAGCCTATAAGGTTTTTCTCAAGAAGAGAGTTTGTGGAATGAGGAACTGTTATATCTATCCCTCCCATTCATATTCATGACTCTGGAGTCTTTGATGGAAGAAATCTAATTAATGTATTCAATCCAGTGCTGTCTAAATTTAGGTGGCCAGGAAACGTTTCTGTTTTCTGTGGAACACAATTTGGGGAATGTTACTGCAGACTGAGTTCCAAAAGGAGTCTGATAACTTTATATCTAATTATGGACAAAAATAGGCTGTGAGTTTTCATTGGCAGCTGAAAACACAGTGACCAGCAGATGGGATAGTACATGGGGGCTCCCCTGTCCTGGTTTGTTCCCCAAATGCCTGCATCAGCCTAGGCTGGGCCAAGCTCAAGCTAGGATCCACCCAGGAGGCAGGACACCAGCTTCTTGAGCTATTACCTTCTGTTTCCCAGGGTGCACGTTAGCTGGAAGCTTGATTTGGGAACAGAACTGAGACTTGAACCCAAGCACTCTGACATGAGCATTCCAAGCAACATCTTAACTCCTATCCTGAATGCCTATCCCGAGATTGTGATTTTTAGAGTCAGCAGGTCCTGAGTTCAAATCCCAGTTTTGCCATTTACTGTCTCTGAGACTGTCATCAAATGACCAACCTCCTATACCCTTAATTTTCTTCATCTGTAAGATGGCCTTAAGAATGCCTCCCTTGCAGGGAAGCTAGCGTAATGCCTGGGACTCATTCTGCACTCAACATCTGTCGCCCCTCTTTGTGTTTTACCAGAGAGAGACCAGCAGATGGAGAAACACTTGTTTGCAGTTTAGGGGAGTGAGTCCTTTTTCTGTTTGAGTTGGGAAAGACCCGTGTTAAGACTCATGGAATAGCCTAATGAGGGCATTGCATTTTTCTAGATTTCATTAGAAAGCCTAAGAAAACATTTTTTATTCTTTAGAAAAACAGCATCCAGAGAAAGTTGAAATGCACAGAAATTGTCCCCATTTAGCAGGATCACTGGTGTGGAAGAGCAGACATCTTCTTCCTAACTGATAGTTGTCATTGTGGCCTGCTGCCTCAGGGAAAAAAAAAAATCAAGAAAGCTTGGTGAAGAGTCAACAACAGATCTGTGGAGAGTCTTTGAAGCTTTTCAGTCCCTTGGCTTTACATTCTCTAAAAGAGTGTGACTGGCCAAAGTTTGCTCACCGTTCAGAATGAGCCACGCTTCTTCCACACCAAATCTGGGGTATTTCATGCTGTTGTTACCAGGAACTTCTTGCCCACACACCTGGTCATGGCCTTTTGGGGAGTTGTGTGGCATCCCCAAACAGGCGTCTCTGTTGATCACAACTTCAGGCCCTGCACAATCCTCTCTTGTGAGTTGTCCTCCTCCCTTGCTTAGAATGAGTGGGAGCATCCAAATTTCCAGCCACCTCCCCAGGCGCCATACCCTCAGGGAGGCAGAGTGAGGAACCTGCAGAGCTCCAGCAGGGTCTCGCCATCCATGTGCCCAGCCTTGGAAGCAAGGAGGGAACCTCGGGGCACATGCAAGGAGGACTCTGGCAATAGTGTGGTAAGAGATGTTGTGTCGCTCAGAGATGCACATAGTCTTCGCATACCTCTCCCAGTGCGAGGCCCTGCCAGGCCACCTGGGGCTTTTGTTCAGCCAGTGTCCCTGATGCATCATGGAACTTCCTGGCACTCGAGTGGTGGGTGTGCCCTTCCAAATTACCATCAGAGGCTTTTCTCCCCATGCTGTTGGTTGGACACAAATGGAAAAGATCCAGGTCATGTGTGTGATATTGTTTGAGAGAATTTCCATTTACAAGTTTTGTCCTTTTAAAGTTTTTCCTTTGTTTGTAATTTGTCTTTTGTCCCTTCTTTTTAAGGAGTCCTAGTCAGATATTAGCATCATTATGAAGACAGGCCTAGGAATGAATGTTCAAGAGTTGGGGGGCAAAAAGGCACACAGAGTATTTGAAAGAAAACCTGTTTTTCTCTCTCAGACCCCTTTTCCATGTTGGGAGAGGAGGAGGTTCTCATTTGCTGGTTATTAACTATGTCACAAGCTCTATGCTTTGTGTTATATTTGCAGTCTGTAGCTGTGTCCTCTAACAGCTCTCATTGCCTGTGTTCAGGAGAAGAAACTGCATCTTAGAGAAATCAGAGGTCTTGCCCGCAGTCTCACAGCTATGTGCTATGTAGGACTGAGTTTTAGATAATCCTAATTTCAGAGCCTTCCAACTGCATAATGATGGATGGAGGGCCAAGTGGATGGTGAACCAAGGGCGAAATGGATGGCATGATAGGATGGTGTCAGCATACCACACCTGGTCTGAGGGCAGTTTAGAACGACAAAGGCATGGCTGGCCAGGGCCTTGAAAAGGGTTGTGATGAGAGTGAAGGCTTCCAGAAGGACACGTTTTTCATCACTTAACAAGCGGTGCACATCGCTGTGTGTTGTGTAAATATTCTGGGGTAGACAGCAGTCATCAAAAAATACATCGAGAAAACCACAACAAACTCATCAGATCTCTGGGTGGTTTGGATGCTGACATTCCTCCAACAAAGGGCTGAAAGGTGCCCTGTGTGAAGATTTCCTGAAGAGTGGGGCTCTCGCTTCCCAGAACGGAGGCTCCTCTTCTGCGCTTAATCCCACTGGAAGTATCTGTGTCAAAGTGTGTGGACACCTCTGTTAAGATGCTGCACCCTTCTGTCAACAGGGAGCTTCCTCTGCAAAAGGGGGACATCGTTTACATTTATAAGCAGATCGACCAGAACTGGTACGAAGGGGAGCACCACGGCCGGGTGGGCATCTTCCCACGCACCTACATCGAGGTACTGCAGCTCCTTGTCTGTCTGAGGAGGTGCCTGGCTGTCACTGAGAAGCCATTTATTGACCCAGGACTTGTGTTTTGTTTCTTCCTTTCTCAGCTCCTTCCTCCTGCGGAGAAGGCTCAGCCGAAGAAGTTGACACCAGTGCAGGTGTTGGAATATGGGGAAGCTGTTGCAAAGTTTAACTTTAATGGTGACACACAAGTGGAAATGTCTTTCAGAAAGGTAAATGGCTCTCCCTGAGCCCTGCCTTTGTGTGGTGGCCAGTTCACAGTGCTGTCTGTCCCCTTAAGAGGTGTCTGCCAATCATCATCACACTAAGAATGTTTGGATGGTCTTTCTTCAGGGGAAGATATTTTGAAAACAGACCTTAGGCTCCCGACAGGGCAGATTTTCATGGAGGTCAGTGATTAAATACAGGATTTCCAGAGCCCTAGACATCTTTTATAAATTATCCTCAGCCCTCATGTTGAGCGCCTCCAGATGTGATAAGCACCATGGTTTCACCATGCATTGTTGTGGCCCCATGGGGGGAAAAAAAAGTCCATTGATAGCAAAAGTTTACAAAAGCTTTGAAGCCAGAAGTCACGGGTTATCAGTTCTGGAGCAGGTAGGGGCATTAAATACCTCTTGCAAGCCACAACTTCCTCACATTAAAACATGAAGAAGGATGGCTCCGTGCCAAGGTGCTCCTGAGGGTTAACTGAAGCCGTTGGCACTCAGCGAGCCGGAGGTGCCCGGGTCCTTGCTGTGGCTTCTGTGTGGGGCAGCTCAGCAGGGTTTCTCCGAACATAGTTACACCAAGCACAGGAACTCTTGTTTTTACCTGTCAGCAGTTTCTGGAGGAGCTGATTTTGTCAGGGGTTCAGGGAAGGGAACATGTGCACTTCAAGCACTTATACCCCTCAAACAGATGAGGATTGCTGGATGCAGCCTGATGGCCCCATAGCAGGAAGGTCACTCATTAAATCATTACACCAGTGTCCAGTGTCGATCAAGCAGTGCAGCTGTATTCAGAATGTGCAGTCATGATCCTTATTAAAGAAGGAGCTTCACTCAGTGGTGTTAAGTGGAAAACAGACATAAGGAAAAGAGACACATACACAAATCTAAGCCACATGAATGGGATTCAATCCAGAAACTACTTGTGTCCAAATACTTACAGGGGCTACCCCTGAGGGACTGCACACCGAGCGATGATTGCTTTCTGCTTCATGTTTGCGCTCTAATTTTTCTGTTACAGAGCATGAAAAATAAAATTACAAAAAGGGAGGTGGAAGCTAGCCTCTGATGGCCTCTGCCATGGCACAGGATATGAAGAGTTGCCTGTTTTGCTTTAAATGGGTCAACAAGGGCTACTTGTGCCTTCCAGGATAAGAGGCAGGAGTCTCATTTTCTTTATGAAAATATTTCGAGACCAAGCTGAACTCCACGGCATCCAGGCAGCCCTTGCTCAGCAATGTGAATTCCTGCCAGATCCAGCAGGGGAGTCTCTCCTGAGACTCAGTGCAGTGGATTGCACAGGAAAGGGCTGTGTCAAGTGCAGGCTGGGGTGCCCTATGTGCCGAGGTTGGAGGGACAAGGACCATTGCCTTGCTGTGTCTTGCAGGGCGAGAGGATCACACTGCTTCGACAGGTGGATGAGAACTGGTATGAAGGGAGGATCCCTGGGACGTCCCGACAGGGCATCTTCCCCATCACGTACGTGGATGTGATCAAACGACCGCTGGTGAAAACCCCCGTGGATTACATTGACCTGCCTTACTCCTCCTCCCCAAGTCGCAGTGCCACTGCAAGCCCACAGGTACCTAAGCTGCTTGATGTTTTCACGCTCAGTAATATAGTCGCCCATGGCTCTTCTGGGGTGGTTCTTCGGCATCATGCTGGAGAAGTATCTGCAGCAGTGTGGACTGCACACAGGTGGTGGTTTTCAGACACCCCAATGGCATTTTGCCAGGTGGAAGAAATGGAAAGTGTTTAAAGGGATTCTCTGGGGAGAAGGTAGTCCCCCTTGGTTGAAGCTAGTGGTGTGGTGCATCCTGTGGCTCAGGGTAGTTCTCTCATGTTGGCCAAGATTGGCTTGCACAAGACAAAGGTTCTCATCCTTAGCTCTGTAGACTTGATCTAAAGTGTTTTTACAAACATTCACCAGAACCACGTTAGAAAATGAGCTTGCAGCATCTTGGTTTATACTGGGCTGATAGGAAGTAGGTGTGGGGCATGATAGGTTTGCCTTACTGGACTTATTTGGAAATAGGAGTTATTCCAAACCCATATCCATGTTTGCAGTTAGAATGTTGGATTCGGGAAAGGCATGTGGGTTGTTGACCCCTGTGACATATGCTAGCCACTGTGCTAGAAAAGCTATTGGAGAGAAACCAGGTAACAGGTACAGGATGTGGGGACCCAGGGTGACCTGGACTCCTCCCCTCTTCTCTCTCATCCTCAAATCACTTCCTAATCTTCCAGCTGCTCATCATTGACCCCAATAGACTGCATCAGGCAGCTGGCCTGGGCTTCCTACACAGGGAGATCCATGTCCTGTCATCTCCCAGACAAGAGTGTGGGGTTGGAGCAGGGTATTCAGGAGAACTCTAAGCTAGAGACTGCACTCAGCTGTAGCAAAATGGCTGCTCCTCTCCTCCTCCCTCTCTGGAAGACCATCCTGAGCCACGGAAGGGCCAGGCAGTGGTGGGCCATTTTTCCTGGGTTCTGGTAGCAGGTGGGCCCTTGCCTGTCCCTTTGATTCTGCAGAGTGGGCCAGCACCATGCAGGACAGCGACAGCTGTGATAGAAACCTCTGTCCCTTCATGTCCCTTGCTCCTTCCCTCCCTCACATGTGTGTGTACACTTGCACACTCATTCTCCAGCCCTGGCCTGATAACTTCCTCTCTGGGACACCAGTGTGTCCGATGTTCTTTGTATTTCACTCTTTTCCTTAGGTGCCCTGGTGACTTGTATTTCCTTTCCTTCCCCTTTATGCTGACCCTTGTACCTTTTACTTCTTTCTCGTGTTTGTCTCTCTCCTTTTAAGTTTCCTAGTCACAGCAAGCTCATCCTGCCAGCCCCCTCATCTCTGCCCCACTCCCGCCGAGCTCTGTCCCCTGAGATGCACGCCATCACCTCGGAGTGGATCTCGCTGACTGTAGGGGTCCCAGGCAGACGTTCTCTGGCGCTGACCCCACCCTTGCCACCTCTGCCTGAGGCTTCTGTCTATTACCCTGACCACCTGACCTTGTCAGCCAGGGCTCGTCCCTCCCTGGCTCTCAGCCTCCCCCATTCAAGCTGGTCAGATGGCTCTACTACACGCTCCACGGTCTCCCCGCTGGCTCTGCCACCCCCTGACAAGGCCTATTCCCTGGCATCCAGTGCCCGGGCCCCACTTCACATCAATGGAGACAGTGGAGTTCACATGGAGCCTCCTGGCACCCGCCAAGATAGCTTCTCTCAGTCGCTGCTTGGGAGCTCTGATAGGGTCATCTCGGAGCTTAGCGATGCATTTAACAGCCAGAGCAAGAGGCAACCATGGCGAGAAGAGAATGGCCACTATGAGAGGAAAGCAGAGAGGGAGGCGGGGGAGAGATACCCTGGTGGACTCGCCATCTCTAAGAAGAGCTGCTTGAAGCCTTCAGACGTGGTCAGGTGCCTGAGTGCTGAACAGAGACTCCCCGATCTCCACCTCCCTGAGGAGAGCCGGCCCAGGAAGCCTCTGGACAGCCCTCTTCCAGTAGGGGAGGCTGGGCAGCCAGAGCTGCATAGAGGTGGCCAGCAGGCTGGGAGGAGAGCCGCTCAGCGTGCTGTGAGCCAGGTAGGCCTGCAGCATGCCCATATGTGTCCTTGGCATCTCACTTGGCCCGGTAGGCCAGAGGGCTCCCTACCGTGGTCCCCCTGCCGAGGCCAAGTGGATGTCTGTGGGACCTGTTTGCTTGCTTTGGGAGCAGAAAGATGGTCCCAGAAGGGATAGAGGGTGAATCTATTGAGGCATAGGGTTGGGGACAGTTAAAGGAAAGGGCGGGTGGTGTTCTGGCTTCTGGAGGTGTTGCAGGAGTGAACTCCACTGTGAGTGCCTTGTGGCCTGCTGCAGAAGCCCATGAGAGGACAAGTCTCCCTGCGGCTGGGTCTGCTATGACTAACCGAGCTGAGAGCACCAGGCTTTAGTGTGGCATGCTGTGGTTTTCTTGTGAGCTGCACTGTTTGCATAACCTGTGGCGCTCTGCTAGTGCTCAGTTTTGTCAGCTCTCCGTCCTGTCTCGTGTCTGTGTGGGAGCTTGGAGCCCTGGCTCATGGCAAGCAAGATGTTGACTGGGGAGCATGCTAGGCTTCCTGGAGCCCCAACGGGCCTGGAGTTGTCCTGTGTGACTACTGGATTTCTGGGTGACTGCCCCTGTCTTCTCTCTGCGTCCAGCTACAGAAATTTTAGGGTTTGGGAGCAAGACTGCTAATAAGGAAGGTCTCTGATTTTTTTAAAGAAATTTTTGTTCTATTTATTTGAAAGGCAGAGACAGCTCTTTCATTGACTGATTAATTCAACAGTTGGACCAAACCAAAGTCAGGAGTTGGGGACCCTTTCTAGGTCTTTATAAAGTTACCAGGGACCCAACCACTTGAGCCGCTACCTGCTACCTCCTGGAGCACACTGTAACCAGAAGCTGAAATTGAGACCAGGGCATGAATCTAGGGATCTGGGGTCCTTAGTGGGATCATAACCACTAGGCCCAAACCCCTCCTCACCATAGGGTGTTTTGAAATTTTAAAACTTTTACAAGGATTGAACTTGGTAACTCTATAGGTCATGGTTCTGATTTTGGCTCTGCTGTGTACTACTCTGTAAGTCAAAAACGTAAGAACTCTTCTCCAACATAATCAAGTCTGAATGCCAGCTCCATTTGGAAACTACTTAGCTTTTCTGGTCAATTTCTTCACCATAAAATAGAAATGAGAATAGCTACCTCATAAGTGTGATTGAGAAGATTCCTTATAATGTGTGTAGAGTGCTGAGCACAAGAGCTAGGAATATGGGCAGTACTTTGCAGAGGGACGCTCTAAAGACACCATCTTGCATGATCTCGAACTGCTAGAGAATAGAGAATGTTCTAGAACTTCTTTAGACCTAGTTAGACTTCCTGAAGTTGTCTGCAGACCATTCACTAAGTGTCTATTGAGCATGCTGTTTATAATAGTAAACTGTTCCCGCGCCTCAAACCTGCAGGCTTCTTTCATTCCATCTGTGGCTACTGATGTCAGACCTGCAGAAACCAGTCTCTGGGCAGGGTGCAGAGCCTGTGTGGTAAGGCTGGCAGGCACAGTAAGTGTCCCCAGGGCAGTCATGGAAGTAAACTCAGAAGCCACACGTGCACAGATGCCTGAGAAGCCACAGAGCAGACTCCAGCTCACACCAATGCACATGGCCAACAGGCCAGCCTATCAGGAGATTGAGACCCCAGGACAGGCACAGTGTGGGATAAGAAATCAGATATATCCTGTCCCTAGCAAGCTGCTTACCCTCCCTGAGCCATGGTTTCCTTGAATGCAGAGTGAAAACAGTGGTCCCTGACAGGGCAGTGTAAGGACTCACCAAGGAGATCCATTGAAGTGGGGTACTTGACGTGTAGCCAGGCTCTGAGCAGTGAGGGCCTCTTACTGCTGTCACTGCAGATTGTTGCCTGTCCCCTCATGTTGGGCTGCGGGGAGGCAGCCACACCAGAGTCTATACCTGGCCCAGAACAAGAGCCCCTGGAATGCCGGTTCTGGGAAGAAGGAGGTGTGTGTGTGGTGGGAGATAGTTTGTTGGGAGCAATGGTTAAGTGACTGGTGGGAAAGAATGCAGTGTCTCTGACACAGAAATAGTTCCATTGATGTTCTAAGTCAGCCCCAGGTGCCTGAACACCTCCTCCTTGCCAGTGGTGAGTCATTGGCAAGGCCCGATTCCAGGATCCGGAGCGTACGGGAAGTGCGCACAGTGCTGCCAGCACTCCCGATGAGGTTAGGGGTACATGCTTCCTGCTTCCTGGTGGGGGCTGGCAGCGCTGGCGATTGTGTTGACTGGGAGGCCATGCGAGGGCCTGCAGACTTTACACATCACCACTTCTAGTCCCTTTCCTTCCTCCTGCTCTCTTGGCACCAGCCCCCTTGCTGAGGTTCCTGGGCTTGCGCGGGGGAGGGCTGCTGTTCACACACCTCCCTCTTAGTCACCTCCACTTCCCATCCTGTGGGAACTCAGGTCTTTCAGAAGGGGGCCCTGCCTCTTGGGCCCTTTGCTTGACACACTGTGACTATCCAGAGAGGACCTGATGTGTAACAGCTGCCCTCCAGCAACCCCATTGGAACCACAAGACCTTAAGCTGAGTCACTTACCTGGCTAAATGCTTTCCAGAACAATTTGAATACCAAGAAAATTAACAACCATTGTTCCTGTGGAACCAAAGAGCTGATTCCAAAGAGCAATTTTTTTGGAGGCTTTAGAGATCTAGGCAGTAAGCGGGGAAGTTTGCCTGAGAGTGTTAACTGAAGGCATTCTGCAATGTTAGGGTTATTTACTCTCTTCTGGGTATCTAGAATATTCCAGGCACTGTGCTGAATGCAGTGATAGAGGAGGATACCCATTATCCTGGGCTTCCCTGTGGTTTCAGGAGAAAGTCTCTCCTCCTGCATAGGCTTAGAAGGCTCTATGGCGTCTGGCCATTGAGGTATCACGTGGGCCTCATCTTCCAAAGCTTCCCGTTTGCTTGGCTAGTCCCTACCTACCTTTCCTTCACATCTCCATTGAGACTTCCAGGAACTTCTCCTGCTGTTCTTCCCTACCCTTGCAGGACTGGACCAAGAGCTCTGATTCTGTGCTCTCCTGGCTCCTGTACCTGATCTATGCAACCATTCCTTAGCTTCCTCATGTTTGCTCTTTGCTTTTCTGTGCCCTCATTCAAGTGTTAGCACCCAACGTTCGAGACTGTGCCACCTGATAGGTAGTAAATATGTATTGAATTAAAGAATAGACAAAAAAGAAAGGGTCTCCACTTGAGGGAGCAAGACATACTCACAGATAATAATTATGCAGGCAGGGAAAGAGTCACGAGCAGTCCTCTCTGAAAGTCTGCAAGGACAAGCAGTAAGCAGTGAGAAGCAGAAAGTGGCTGTCTGGAAGGACTCCGTGAGAACATGTAGCATGTGAACTGGGCCTTAACTAGTAAGGAGATTTCCAGCAGGCACACAGCAAGAGAATGTGACTTAAGACAGATGGCTGGGGCAAAGGCTTATGAACCGAGAACTATGTGTGGAGAGTGGTGTGTTTCTGGATTGGGTGAGGCTTCAGGTATCCACAGGTAGGAGAATCTGGAAAGGGAGCCGAGACCAGAGGTCATCACCTGAAGTGATGCTCAGTACCACCTCCTAGCCATCAGTCAAACTGTCTTCCTCCCACACACAGTGTGCTGCTTGGCTGCTTGCCTTCCCTTAGTTACCCACCTGCCCCATTTCTATAGTCATCTGAATGCTCCCTGTAAAATTTACCTAACTTTTCATTCCTAAACTGGTTTCACATTGGGTTGGGTTGCTTGGCATTTCAAATATGTGTTTTCTCTGACCAGTAGCAGGAGCTAAGTAAAGAGCCCAGTGTCTGCAGAGGAAATCAGGGTGGGGTTCAGAGCAAGGATGGGGTATTGAAAGCCAGTGTCCCTGTGTTCTAGCTCTGGCCCTGCCATTAGCCTGCAACATGTGTGTCTTTGGGTGAGTCACTTCTCTTTCCCGGCAGCTTCCTGTTCATAAACAAACCTTTAGACAAGAGACGTTTTTCAGAAGGCTTTGATATTCCATAATGAGATAAAATCCTGGGTGAATTGCAGTTGAAATGAGGAAGGGATATGTAGTTTGTTGGTAGGTCTACAACCTAACAGAAAGATGGAAGACTTTGCTGTGTTTTTGAGGGATAACTTGAATAACTGAACACAGACACTTAGAAAACACTCAAGAGTTCAGAATTAATATCCACACTCTTAGATTTTGTTGGGTGTTAACTTTGGCCAATAAGATTTATTACAATCCACCAAGTGACAGGGAGGACCATATTGCAGGCCTCCTTTATCAGCATCGTCAAATAGTCCCCAAGTTTCCCCTAGACAAAAAGAGAAGACCAAAGGCACCCAGGTTTGATTTTCTGGCTTTGTTCAGAGTATGAGAGAATCTTACAGAATTTCTGGGTTAATAAGAATCTGTCCCAGGGACTCATAACTTTTTCTGGATCACAGAATTTTTGAGTTGCTGAGACCAGAGGACACCTTTAATTGGGGGAGGCTCACACACACAGAGTTTTGTAAATACTTCTGGAGGATCATAGCCACTGCCACCTGATTGCTCCCTGGTTGCCCTGGTTAAGGTCCCCTCGTTGTCAAAGCTTGCGGTGAGATGAGAAGATGGGTTTCTGATGGGTGATGATTTGGTTCCTGAAAGGAAGGAGACCCATGAGTAAAAGCTGAGGGCAGGAATTGTGAAGTAAAAGCCTTGGTGTGAGTTGGTTGGCTCCCTGTCCATGTAGAAGGCACAGAACAAATGGCATGACCTAGAGGGGGCTGCTCCAGCAGAGATGGGAGCACTCAGACGAGTTTCCAGAAAGACCAGCACAAAGGCAGAGGGACTGCTTTGAAGCTGGAAATCAGAAATAGAAATAAGCGTGGACTAAGGGGAAATTAAAAGCGTTAGGATGTTCAGTCAAGGGAACCATTTCCCTCTGACTCACTCCGAAGGAAAATCTCTACTAAACAAACGCAGAGGGTGGTGACCAGTTTCTGGAATGGGGCGAGAGTTTGGCTACAGTTGTTA